CCGGACACTTTCCCCCCTTCCAGTCCGGACACTTTCCCCCCCTTCCAGTCCGGACACTTTCACCCCCTTCCAGTCCAGGCCAATTTTTTAGCTTTCAGCGCTATCACACTTTGAATGACAATTGCGCGGTCATGCAACACTGTACCCATATGAATTTTGTAGCATTTTTTTGAGACAGATGAAACTTTATTTTGTAGGTATTTATTCACCACTGGGATTTTTTTATTTTTGTGCTATATAAATGAAAAAGTCCAAACATTTTGAAAAAAAAAAGTGTTTTTTTCTTATAACATTTTGCAAATAAATAATCTTTCTTTTATTTTTTTTTATATTATTATTTATGTGGGTTTTTTTTTTAACATACTGTCACCCTAGCAGTACAGTGTCACCATAGTGACACTGTACTACTTGTGGGTGATGAAGACTTTTTTTTTTTACATTGATTGCTTTTACACTCGTAAAGGCTGTAAAAGCAATACTTTCTCCTTCTCTCTGGCAGCATTCTTGCAGCCATTGAGAAATACTGTGTGAGCTGTGATTGGTCACAGCTTGTCACATGGTACAAGGCTGTTGTGAATAGCCTTGTACCATGTGACCTCGGTGATCATTCACAGATTTCACACATAGTAAGCAATGATGTCAGAAGTGACATCTTGTTTACTACTGTTCATGTGATCACTGATTGGCCAATCAGTGATCACATGATCGAGACCTCACACAGAGGTCCTGTACAGCCACAGTGGGCATCGGATCGCAGTGCCTCGTGCTCCTAGGGAGCACGCACAGGCAGGGAAGCGGGAGGACGTTTATAAATGGCCACCCTGTCCTGCACTGCTCCCGTCCGGCCGTTTATGTACATAAGCCAGACGGGAAGTGGTTAAGAAAGTAAAATTGAGGTTTTTGGCTTTCCTAGGAGAATATCTATGTGCACAATTATTGTGCAACTATTAGTATGCAGAATTATTATGCAACTAAATTAAAACATTTTCCCATCTCACTTGTTTATTTGCATCTGTTAAAGTCAGAAAAATAAACTAGCAATTAAAAATTTCCAAAAAAAAACATTTCTGACATTTCCAAAAAAAAATCAGTGACAAATACAGCTATCCTTCTTTTCAAAAACAGTCATAAGCATGCCATTCGTGTTGTCTGTCAGGTTCTTGATCTGTTGACGATCAACTTTTTGTGCAGCAGCAACCACAGCCTCCCAGACATTGTTCAGGGAGGTGCACTGTTTTCCTTCACTGTAAATCTCTCATTTCAGAAGGGCCCTCAAGTTCTCAGTAGGGTTTAGGTCAGGTGAGGAAAGGGGCCATGTAATTTTTCTTTCATCTTTAAGGCCTTTACTGGCTAGCCACACAGCGGCGTACTTCAATGCATGAGATGGAGCATTGTCCTGCGTAAATATCATGGTCTTCTTGAAAGATGCAGATTTTTTCCCTGTACCACTGCTTGAAGAAAGTGTCTTCTAAAAAACTGGCAGTAGGTTTGGGAGTTGATTTTGAGTCCATCTTCAACCCGTAAAGGTCCAACTAGCCAGGGGCGGACTGACCATTTGGAAACTCAGGCACTGCCCGAGGGCCCGGGGTCAGTAGGGGGACCCATGAGATGTCCCTGGTACCTTTTCCATAGGCTTTTTTGAGTTTGGGCAACAACACAGGGGCCCCATGATCCCCTATTGCCCGGGGGCCCCATGAGTTGTCAGTCTGCCCCTGCAACTAGCTCATCTTTAATAATACCAGCCCATACCAGTACCCCACCTCCACTTTGCTGGCGCTTAAGTCGAAGTGGAGCTCTGTGCCCGTTACTGATCCAGCCATGGGCCTATCCATCTGGTCCGTCACTCTCATCTCATCAGTCCATAAAACCTTTGGAAAATCTGTCTTCAGATATTTCTTGGTCCAATCTTGATGTTTCAACTTATTTGTCTTGTTCAGTGGTGGTCGAGTTTCAGCCTTCGTTACCTTTGCCATGTCTCTGACCACTGAACACCTTGTACTTCTGGGCACTCCAGGTAGGTTGCAGTTCTTTTCTTGCGACCCTGTTGACTATTTGCAACAAAACGTTTGATGGTTCTGTGATCACACCCCAATATCTTAGCAATTTCAAGAGTGCTGCATCCCTCTGAAAGACTTTTAATAATTTTTGACTTTCAGAGTCAGTTAAATCTCTCCACACCCTCCCTCGTTACACAAATACACATCACCTGATATGCTTGAATCCAATAAGTATTCATGTTTATACAGCTTGGAGTTGGACAATATACATAAAAATGATGATTTGGTCAAAATACTTACTTGCCTAATAATTGTGCACACAGTATATATATAGCACAGACTTCTGTAGAGGGTTTTATACTATAGATTTTACATAGGTCTCTGTAGCGTGTATTTTATTATACATTGTATATACACTATATTGCCAAAAGTATTGGCCCCGCCCTCCAAATCATCGGATTCAGGTGTTCCAATCCCCTCCATGGACACAGGTGTAAAAAAATCAAGCCGCTCGGCATGCAGACTGCTTCTACAAATATTTGCGAAAGAATGGGTCGCTCTCAGGAGCTCAGTGAATTCAAGCATGGTCCTGTGATAGCTGGCCACCTGTAAAATAAGTCCATCCATGAAATTTTCTAGCTACTAAATATTCCACGCTCAACTGTTAGTGGGATTATAACAAAGCGGAAGCAACTGGAACAACAGAAACTCAGCAAAACAAAAACAAAGTGAAAGACCACAATGACAAAGCGGGGTCAGCGCATGCTGAAGCGCGTAGTGCGCAGAACTGTCTGTAGAGTCAGTAGCTAAAGACCTCCAAACTTGGTGTGGCCTTCAGATTAGCACAACAAAAGTGCGTAGAGAGCTTCATGGAATGGGTTTCCATGGCCGAGCAGCTGCATCCAAGCCTTACATCACCAAGTGCAATGCAAAGCGCCGGATGCAGTGGTGTAAAGCACGCCGCTACTGGACTATAGAGCAGTGAAGACGTGTTATCTGAAGTGATGAATCACTCTTCTCTGTCTGGCAATCCGATAGATGTGTCTGGGTTTGCCGGTTGCCAGGAGAACACTACTTGCCTGACTGCATTGTGCCAAGTGTAACGTTTGGTGGAGGGGGATTATGGTGTGGGGTTGTTTTTCAGGGGTTGGGCTTGGCCCCCTAGTTCCAGTGAAGGGAACTCTTAAGGCGCCAGCATACCAAGACATTTTGGACAATTTCATGCTCCCAACTTTGTGTGAAGAGTTTTGGGATGGCCACTTCCTGTTCCAACATGACTGCCCACCAGTGCACAAAGCAAGGTCCATAAAGACATGGAGGAGCCAGTTAGGGGTGGAGGAACTTGACTGTCCTGCACAGAGTCCTGACCTCAACCCCATAGAACACCTTTGGGATGAATTCAAGCGGAGACTGCGAGCCAGGCCTCCTTCCCCGACATCAGTGCCTGATCTCACAAATGTGCTTCTGGAAGAATGGTCCAACCTTCCCATAGACACCCTCCTAAACCTTGTGGACGGTCTTCCCAGAAGAGTTGAAGCTGTTATAGCTGCAAAGGGCGGGGGCCAACTCAATATTGAACCCTACGAACTAAGACTGGGAGGCCATTAATGTTTATGTGCGTGGAAAGGCCGGCGACCCAATACTTTTGGCAATATAATGTATATCACAGGTCTCTGTAGTCTACATTACAGCATACATTGTATATAGCAGAGATTTCTGTAGAGGGTTTTATAGTGTACATTTTATATATCACAAGTCTCTGTAGAGCGTTATGATATATATTGTATTATTATAGTATACATTTTATATATCACAGGTCTCTGTAGTGGTTATTACAGTATACATTTTATATATCACAGGTCTGTGTAGTTTGTATTATAGTATACATTTTATATATCACAGGTCTCTGTAGTTTTATTATAGTATACATTTTATATATCACAGGTCTCTGTAGAGCTTTATGATATATATTATATTATTGTAGTATACATTTTATATATCACAGGTCTCTGTAGTGGTTATTATAGTATACATTTTATATATCACAGGTCTCTGTAGTGGTTATTACAGTATACATTTTATATATCACAGGTCTCTGTAGTGGTTTATTATAGTATACATTTTATATATCACAGGTCTCTGTAGTGGTTATTACAGTATACATTTTATATATCACAGGTCTGTAGTGGTTTGTATTATAGTATACATTTTATATATCACAGGTCTCTGTAGTGGTTATTATAGTATACATTTTATATATCACAGGTCTGTGTAGTTTGTATTATAGTATACATTTTATATATCACAGGTCTGTGTAGTTTGTATTATAGTATACATTTTATATATCACAGGTCTCTGTAGTGGTTATTACAGTATACATTTTATATATCACAGGTCTCTGTAGTGGTTATTATAGTATACATTTTATATATCACAGGTCTGTGTAGTTTGTATTATAGTATACATTGTTTATAGTGTAGGTGTCTGCAGTATGATAAAGGCTGTAGAATTAAGCTGATCTTGGCTCTTTCATTCTCAGAATCTCTCCGCCAGTCCAGTGTGCGGTCCCAGGGGAGCAGGACCGGCCCAGAATAGAAAGCCTGTGGCAAGCAGAGCTCAGACACGGCACGCTGCAGCTGTCATAGCATCTTTGGGTTTCTGCACAGACCAGCCCTGTAGAATAGGACATGCCTTCCTCCTTGGGTGTTAGTGTGTATTGCAGTATCAGACTGTGCTGTCAATGTGTTTTATAATAAAGATGAAAGTCTGAGGCCGCATGCACTGAGACAAGTGCCAGAAATGGAATAGAGTCACTGTGAGGTAGTATCCACCTGTGCTAAATAAAATGTAAGGCAGTATACAATATGATGATTTGTATGTGTATGGTCAGACATGGACGAGCTCCCTTTTCACAATCTGCTCTCACTGTGACACCATTCCTTCTTCTTCCAGGTCAATGTCTCTATTAGGTCGGGGGCAGGGCGGATCCTGTCTGGGTGGCCCATGCAGTGTCTAGCAGCTGTTATCCGGGACGACGGAAACATGAGTGGAGGAGCGGAGCAAGCGGATATCCTGCCGGTCAGCTACGTGGTAAAGGATCGCTGGAAGGTGGTGAGTAGACTGGCGGCTAATGACCAGAAAATGTCCTGTTCTTTGGGTCATATGAGCATCACCTACTAACACTTCCACCATGATGGAGGCTGAGCTCCCATGAAACGTATGAAGGCCTTCAGCTATACCAGTACCCAGCTTTGTTTTAGAGGGTGCCACAAACTCTGCCACTGCCAAGTCTTTCACTTTGCTGTGTCCCAAACTCCATTAGCACTAAGTTTCTTTGTATCGGTATGGTGTGCCCTAACTCTACAGTACTATCCAGTATCCCATGGTACATCCCAACAAACCCATACAAGGGTATCCATATGAGGCCCTCAGCCTTTACCAGTCCCAGTACCTTCACTGTGCCATAATGAGACCCCAACCTATACCACTTCTGAAACCTTTATGGTAGTGGGACCACAACCGCTACCAGTACTGAGCCCTTCACTGAGCCATGATGAGACGCTAACATATGTTGGTAGTGAGACCTTCACTGAGCCATGATAAGACCCCAGTCTCTTCTAGTACCAAAACCTTTATTGTGCCATTACACCCTAACCTCTACAATTACTGGATCAATCACTGTGCCATGACAAGACCCCAAGCCTCTACCAGTACTGAGATCTTTTACTGTGCCATGAAGAGACCCCAAGCTCCACCAGTAACGAAATCTTCATTGTGCCACGATGAGACCCCAACCTCTATCATTACTGGAACCTTCACTATGCCATGATAAGACCCCAAACCTCTACCAGTACCAAGATCATTCCCTGTGCCTGCCATGATGAAATCCCAACCTCTACCAGTGTCAAAGCTTTTACTCTACCATGTTCAGACTCCAACCTTTACCAGTGCTAAGATCTCAACTGTGTCACGAAGAGACCCTAACTTCTTCTAGTTCCAATGCTTTCAATGTGTCATGAGTGAACTTCAACCACTACCAATACTAAGACCCTCACTGTGTCATGATGACATCCCAACCTCTACCAGTGCTAAAGCTTTCACTGTGCCATGTTTAGACTTCAATCTTTACCAGTGCTGAGATGGAGCGGTGAGACCCTAACCTCTACCAGTACTGAGACCCTCACTATGCAATGGTGTGCTTCCGTATCTACATGTATTTTGTCATTTATAGCATGTCCACAACGTTGCCAATACCCAGCGTTTCACTATGCCATGGGGTACCCCTAACTCCAACACCAAGATTCTCTGTATGCAACAGGATTAGATATTTTCATACTGAGTGCCCATAATCCAGTGCCATGAAATCTACTCAGACAGTATGCTATGTTGTATCCTCAAACATTACAGTACTGAGTGTGTCATTGTGTACCTCAAATGTACCAAACCATGCCATTGTGTGCCCCAAAACTCCTTCAAAATGCCATTGTAGTTCCTTCACAATGCCATCATATACCAACAAAAAATACCATTCCACGTTGTAACACTCACTCAACAAGTACTGAAATTTTGCCCCTAATTCTACCAGTACCAAGCCTTTCCCCACTTTATAGTGTGCCCCACAATTTTGACACTGTCTCACCTTTACTGTGCCACAATGTACCCTCAATTCTGGTTGTACCCCCAGCCTTTCCCTGTACTCTAATGTAACCTCAGTTCTAATAGTACTCAGCCTTTCTCTTTGCCATGATGTGCCCTCAGTTCTAGCAATACCCAGCCTTTCCTTGTGCCATGGTGTAAAGGTTCTTGTGTATCTCACCTGTATATAATGTTTAGTAATCGGGGAGTTAGTGAGTAATTGGTGGCGAGTGATAATTTGACATCTATACAGACAATAATATAAGGAATGTTGTGTTTCCTGTAGCTGAAAAAAATTGGAGGTGGAGGATTTGGGGAGATCTACGAGGCGATGGATTTGCTGACTCGGGAAAACGTCGCTTTAAAAGTAGAATCAGCACAACAACCAAAACAAGTTCTAAAGATGGAGGTGGCCGTGTTAAAGAAGTTGCAAGGTCAGTTGGGACATATTCTTCTTCACTCTGCTGCTCTGTATTCTCTGCATTGTCTGCGTCACCCAACATAGAACATATGAACTGCCCAATGTACACATTGATGTGTTCTAAATCTAGGGATATTCTTTGTCAGCACCATTCTCTAACATTCTGTGTGGGGTGTGTACAGTGCTCATGTCTTCTTCTTCCGCTGTCTTGATGTTTGTATTTCAATGGTTTTTATTCATTTGTAACATTTCAACAAGACTTGAGAAACAAGACACGCCCACGCAGGGCTATCTGTGGCACATAAAAAGTGCTATAACACCAACAGAGCAAAAGGTGTGCCAACGCAGGGGCTATCAATGGCACATAAATTACCGTATTTTTCGCTCCATAAGACGTACTTTTTTCCCCCCAAAAAAGGGGGGGAAATGTCAGCGCGTCTTATGGAGCGAATATAAAGCGACCGGTCTGGTATTTCTGCCGCCACCATGTCAGAATACCGGGCCGGCCACTCAACTCTTCTCTCCTGCAGGACCTCACCTGTTCCTCGCTCCAGCACTGTAGTCTTCCCGCGCCGGCTCCTGTGACAGCCGGGTGCCCACTGCGCATGTGCGAGAAGCGCTGCGCTTTGTGAATGGTCCGGTGTCTTCTGCGACACATGACAGGTCCCAGAGGGCATTGTGCACAAAAAGGTTCAACTTGAATTCCAGTCCCTCATATGGAACACCCGATATGTTACAGTCAGCCTAGAGCGCTAAAGCCAGCGGCTCAAGTGCCAGGACAAAGAGCGCCGGGGACAGGGGGCATCCCTGTCTCGTCCCTCGCCAAGTAGGAAAGGGATCTGAGAAATACCCAGCGTATTTAACCGAAGCCGAAGGGAAGGAATGCAAAGCTTGAATCCAAGAGAGAATAGAGTCCCCAAAGCCCCAACAAGACAGCACAAACCGCAGATATTCCCAGGATAGAGAATCAAAAGCTTTATATATGTCTAAAGACAGTAAGAATCCCAGGATTCTTTGCTGTAGTAGAAGGTGTATAAGGTGGACCACTGTAGGAACATTATCAGCCGCCTGCCTCCCGGGGCTGAAACCTACTTGGTCCCTGTGGACCAGACTATGCAAATATTTATTGATACGAAGACTAAGGATCTTGCCCAATAATTTCAGATCTTCATCAAGAAGAGAAATGGGCCGAAAGGCTTGCGATTCCTACATCTGTTGTCTTAGGAATCATTGAGATACGAGCTCTGAGCGCATCCGGAGAGGGCAAAGAGCCCTGCCATAACTCATTGAAATAATCAGCCAAAAAGGGCGCCAACAGAGTCGCAAATTTCTTGTAATAGAGACCTGAAAAGCTGTCAGGACTTGGTGGACCGTAGAGATTTGATAGTTTGAAGCACTTCTGATTCGGTTACACCGGCGTTGGGGGCCAGCCGCGCTGCTTCGGACAATCCAGGAAGTCGGAGATCTTGGAAAAAAACACCTCTGCCTGAGCCACAGGGAAGGGATCTGGTTTAGCCTAAGGCTAGGTTCACATCTGTGCAGGTAATGCCGCTGCGGATACGCACAAAAATCTGTGCAGCCACACCACCTGCACAGAAGAATGTGGACCCGCGGGCGGGTGCCATTAGTTCTAATGGCACGCCGCCCACACTGGAAACTGAGAACCGAGGTTCCCGTGTGGGCTGCGTTTTCAGAAGAAGTGCTGGGACTGCTTCCCTGCGTGCCCCGGGGCACGGGGGTCCATTCAAATTAATGGGCTCTTGTGCCCGTGCAAAACGGGAACCGCAGTTCCGCAGATATTTAAACCAGGTGTTAAGGTGTGAAAGGAAATCCGTGAAATTGGAAACAATCTGCTGGGGATTGGAAGTACAGCCACCCGCAGGAAGTCGCAACCGGATTGGTCCGCTGTCTTGATGTTTGATAAATGGTGTACATTTTGCCAATTTGCACTTAGAATTCCAGTTATGGTTATGTAAGGGTTTACAATCATTTTAAAGCAGAACTATTGTAAAGTTAAAAAAAAATTTATGAATGGGCACTTTATTATAGAAGAGACGTGCTATGTCTCTTCTGCAATAAAATAAACGTGCCTACTTGTTTGAAATATCCTGCAGAACATATACTGATCTTCCCATGCGCAGCTCAGTTTAAAATTTGAGTGCAGGGTCAGTGTGTTGGAATGAATAACTCCCGCGCATGCGCAGGCATGAAGTCATCCTGCACCTGCCAATCAAGGCAGCCAAGGAGCGGCACCTGGAAGAAGCTAAGGAGAAGACGCCGGCACCAGCGAGGGGGACCTTGCAAGGGCTGGACTGTTGTTACCCCCGGTTCACATCTATACAGCCGTGCGGGCTACGTTTTGCGCGGGCACGAGAGCCCATTCATTTGAATGGACTCCCGTGCCCGTGACAATGCAGGGAAGAAGACCCTGCACTTCTTTGGAAAACGCAGGCCGCATGGGAACCTCGGTCCCCAGTACAGTTGCGTTTTCCAGTGCGGGCGGCGTGCCATTAGAACTAATGGCACCCGCCCGCAGGTCTGCATTTCTCTGTGCGGGTGGTGCGGCTGCATGGATTTTCGTGCGGATCCGCAGCCGCACCACCCGCACAGATGTGAACTTAGGGTAACAGAGGTAAGTGTTTTTTTTTACTTTAGTTTTGCTTTAAGATAACTAAGACATTTACCTTTATTTTAGGATAAACAAGGTTTTCTTTTTGCGATAGTCTCTTGCAAAAACTATTTTTTTTTTTTTTCGTCTCCCTACAGCAGCGGTTCTCAACCTGGGGGTCGCGACCCCTTTGGGGGTCGAACGACCATTTCCCAGGGGTCGCCTAAGACCATCGGAAAACACATATTTCCGATGGTCTTAGGAACCGAGACACCGCTCCTGTCTCCGGCGTTGTGTGGGCGGGATGATATGCTGCCCCTGTCACCGCCTCCTCGCCGCTGATTGGCCACCGGAACTGTAGCTCAGGAGAGGCACACAGGCGGCCAATCACCGGCGAGAAGGTGGAGCTTGGAGAGGAGGAGCCGAGCGGCAGCGCGCGGAGATCGAAGAGGATCGAGGGAGCTGCAGGAACGAGTGAAGAGAGAGGCCAGAGAAGGAAGACAGCTGACAGGTAAGTGCAAATTTTGCTGCTGCAGCCAGGTATGCAGGCTGTAGATGGGAGAGGGAGAGAGCGAGCCCAGGCTGGAGCAGGGGTCAGCAAGGTAAGTATCATTGGTGTCAGTGGGAGGGATAGTGCCCCATCATTTGTGTCACTAATACCAACAATGGTATTATATACAGATCCCTACAGGAATACTTTGAAGGAGAAGTACAGCCGAAGCTCTTTTGGCTGCACTCCTGTGGATGACAGGAGTGCAGATCGTTCTGCACTCCTGTGACCCGTTTTCAGATGACAGCAGGCTGAATCCCGCTGTCGGCTGATGTCATTCAGCCGGTCCAGGCTGGGGAAAGACCCCGAATTTAAAGTCCGGGATCCACCCCAGAGTCTGGAGCGGCATCTGGCTCAGCCCCTCAGCAATCTGCTTAGAGCCTGAGGAAGCTGCCCCCTCCACAGCCAGTGAGCGCAGGAGGGGTGCGCAGAGCAGAGAGCGGTAACTTGACAGTCACTGCTCTCTGCTCACAGCGACGGTGGGAACTCAGCCATCAGCGGTCATGTGATCGCTGAGTTCTTACGTTTAGATCCGGGGGGGGGGACAGATTCAGCATCAAACGAATGCTGCACCCGCCTAGGTAAGTATAACTTGCGGGAACTCCCCCCAAAACTTCTCTTTTAAGGTGAACTTGAGCGACAGATTCAGGCTCCAGAAAATCCCATCTTCCTGGCTGTATTGCTGACTGTGTGGCTGCTGTACTTTGAGCCTCTAATATGGAACAAATATGCAAATTACTTGAGTATCAAAGTTTTGAAGCCAGAGGATGCCAGAGGACAGCCAGGAACTCGGAGTACAACCTCCTCTGCTTCTTCAGTTAGAGCTTCCACCTGGCAGTACTCGGGTCGTGTTGGTTTGAATCAGTGTTTTTTGGTTTGATATATTATTGAAATTACATTTATTATTATTGTATAATTTAATTTTGTATGATTATTTATTAAATTATAATTTAATGATTTCGTGGTTTCAAGTTTTTATCATACCCGGGATGTTTACTAGACTCTTAGTTCGGACAGATTTCAGGGATGATACTCACTAAATTACAGCCTCTACATATTTCCATCAAAAAAAATGGTACCATCGCTTTGAGCACCAAAATCTTAATCAGCCACGGCACCACCTGCCTGGAGTCTGCATGTTCCCCCTGTGCCTGTGTGGGTTTCCTCCGGTTACTCCGGTTTCCTCCCACACTCCAATGACAAGCTGGTAAGTTACTTGGCTCCTGTCTAAATTGTCCCTAGTAGGTGTATGTATGAATGTGAGTTAGGGACCTTAGATTGTACACACCCTTGAGGGTTAGGGACCTTAGATTGTACACCCCTTGAGGGTTAGGGACCTTAGATTGTACGCCCCTTGAGGGTTAGGGACCTTAGATTGTACACCCCTTGAGGGTTAGGGACCTTAGATTGTACACACCCCTTGAGGGTTAGGGACCTTAGATTGCCCCTTGAGGGTTAGGGACCTTAGATTGTACGCCCCTTGAGGGTTAGGGACCTTAGATTGTACGCCCCTTGAGGGTTAGGGACCTTAGATTGTACCCCCTTGAGGGTTAGGGACCTTAGATTGTACACCCCTTGAGGGTTAGGGACCTTAGATTGTACACCCTTGAGGGTTAGGGACCTTAGATTGTACACCCCTTGAGGGTTAGGGACCTTAGATTGTACACCCCTTGAGGGTTAGGGACCTTAGATTGTACACCCCTTGAGGGTTAGGGACCTTAGATTGTACGCCCTTGAGGGTTAGGGGACCTTGAGGGTTAGGGGGACTGATGTGAATGTACAATATATATATGTAAAGCGCTGTGTAAATTGATGGCGCTATATAAGTACCTGTAATAAATAATAAATAAATGATATGCTTTTTTATTTGCACTGCTGTTCATCCCTGTTTGATGGAGGTGTGATCTCAGCCTGATCCTCAGGCTTCTCTTCCATAAAAGCTGTGTAAATATTCTCAGTGTGTGGGGCCGGGGGGGGCCTATTTCCTGGCTGTTGATTCCTCACTGTTGGGTCTTTGTGTCTCTGCAGGGAAGGATCACGTCTGCCGGTTCATCGGCTGTGGAAGAAATGAGAAGTTTAACTATGTGGTGATGCAGCTACAGGTAGTCCTGGGTTTCGGGTACATATACTGCATGGACCTATTATAATGGCAGCTACCCATATGGGGGGCAGGGACACCTACTGAAGGTGAACACTATGGTGTTGCTTTACTAAAGACAAACAGACTATGCACTTTGCAAAGTGCAGTTGGACTCTACAATTGCAGCTGCTCCAGAGCTTAGTAAATGAGGTAACACTTCACTTTGCAAAGAATGCCCAATCACATGAAAGGAAAATAAAAAAACTGCATTTTTGCTGGCATGTGATTGGATGATAAAAGTCAACAGACGTTCTGCTCATTTAGGAAGCTCTGGAGCGACTGCTCTTGCAGAGTGCACAGTCTATTTGCCTTTTAGTAAATCAACCCCAATTATGGCTGCTACAGGTAGTCCTGATTGCCAAAAACATGTATTGAATGTACAACACTATAATGGCAGCTACAGGTAACCCGGAGTGTTGGGTACACATATTGCATATACACACTATAATGACAGCTATAGGTACTCCAGGGTGTCAGGTACACATGCTGAATACACACACTATAATGGCAGTTACAGGTACTCCAGGGTGTCAGGTACACATACTGAATACACACCTATAATGGCAGTTACAGGTACTCCAGGGTGTCAGGTACACATACTGAATACACACTATAATGGCAGTTACAGGTACTCCAGGGTGTCAGGTACACATACTGAATACACACCATAATGGCAGTTACAGGTACTCCAGGGTGTCAGGTACACATACTGAATACACATACTATAATGGCAGTTACAGGTACTCCAGGGTGTCAGGTACACATACTGAATACACACTATAATGGCAGTTACAGGTACTCCAGGGTGTACACAGGTACACATACTGAATACACACACTATAATGGCAGTTACAGGTACTCCAGGGTGTCAGGTACACATACTGAATACACACTATAATGGCAGTTACAGGTACTCCAGGGTGTCAGGTACACATACTGAATACACACACTATAATGGCAGTTACAGGGTGTGGTACTCCATGGTGTCAGGTACACATACTGAATACACACTATAATGGCAGTTACAGGTACTCCAGGGTGTCAGGTACACATACTGAATACACACTATAATGGCAGTTACAGGTACTCCAGGGTGTCAGGTACACATACTGAAATACACACCATAATGGCAGTTACAGGTACTCCAGGGTGTCAGGTACACATACTGAATACACACACTATAATGGCAGTTACAGGTACTCCAGGGTGTCAGGTACACATACTGAATACACACACTATAATGGCAGTTACAGGTACTCCAGGGTGTCAGGTACACATACTGAATACACACACTATAATGGCAGTTACAGGTACTCCAGGGTGTCAGGTACACATACTGAATACACACACTATAATGGCAGTTACAGGTACTCCAGGGTGTCAGGTACACATACTGAATACACACCATAATGGCAGTTACAGGTACTCCAGGGTGTCAGGTACACATACTGAATACACATACTATAATGGCAGTTACAGGTACTCCAGGGTGTCAGGTACACATACTGAATACACACACTATAATGGCAGTTACAGGTACTCCAGGGTGTCAGGTACACATACTGAATACACACCTATAATGGCAGTTACAGGTACTCCATAATGGGTACAGGTCAGGGGTCAGGTACATACTGAATACACACACTATAATGGCAGTTACAGGTACTCCAGGGTGTCAGGTACACATACTGAATACACACTATATAATGGCAGTTACAGGTACTCCAGGGTGTCAGGTACACATACTGAATACACACTATAATGGCAGTTATAATGGCAGTTACAGGTACTCCAGGGTGTCAGGTACACATACTGAATACACACACTATAATGGCAGTTACAGGTACTCCAGGGTGTCAGGTACACATACTGAATACACACTATAATGGCAGTTACAGGTACTCCAGGGTGTCAGGTACACATACTGAATACACACACTATAATGGCAGTTACAGGTACTCCAGGGTGTCAGGTACACATACTGAATACACACATAATGGCAGTTACAGGTACTCCATGGTGTCAGGTACACATACTGAATACACACTATAATGGCAGTTACAGGTACTCCAGGGTGTCAGGTACACATACTGAATACACACACTATAATGGCAGTTACAGGTACTCCAGGGTGTCAGGTACACATACTGAATACACACACTATAATGGCAGTTACAGGTACTCCAGGGTGTCAGGTACACATACTGAATACACACACACTATAATGGCAGTTACAGGTACTCCAGGGTGTCAGGTACACATACTGAATACACACACTATAATGGCAGTTACAGGTTACTCCAGGGTACTCCATGGCAGGTACTCAGGGTGTCAGGTACACATACTGAATACACACACTATAATGGCAGTTACTGGTACTCCATGGTGTCAGGTACACATACTGAATACACACTATAATGGCAGTTACAGGTACTCCAGGGTGTCAGGTACACATACTGAATACACACACTATAATGGCAGTTACAGGTACTCCAGGGTGTCAGGTACACATACTGAATACACACACTATAATGGCAGTTACTGGTACTCCAGGGTGTCAGGTACACATACTGAATACACACTATAATGGCAGTTACAGGTACTCCAGGGTGTCAGGGTGTCAGGTACAGTTACATACTGAAGGTACACACACACTATAATGGCAGTTACAGGTACTCCAGGGTGTCAGGTACACATACTGAATACACACACTATAATGGCAGTTACAGGTACTCCAGGGTGTCAGGTACACATACTGAATACACACACTATAATGGCAGTTACAGGTACTCCAGGGTGTCAGGTACACATACTGAATACACACTATAATGGCAGTTACAGGTACTCCAGGGTGTCAGGTACACATACTGAATACACACTATAATGGCAGTTACAGGTACTCCAGGGTGTCAGGTACACATACTGAACATACACGCTATAATGGCAGTTACAGGTACTCCAGGGTGGCGGATACACATGCTCAATATACAGTACATTGCTACAAACTACAGTATGGTGCTGATTTATAGGTATATTATTGGATGGGGTGTGATCCTAATTCTGCCTCGTACATCCCGCTCCTTCAGTAACTGTCGGCCACATTCCAGACATTTGGGATGTACTTCGTGTCTCTTCTCCAGATCCCACACACAGCATATTGGTGGTGCCATAATATCGTTTTCCGGGGATGATTGCTATGTGGGGTGGCAGGGAGGGGGGTGTAATGCAGATCTGTTGGTGGGGTTTATATTGTCAGGAGGAGAGGGGCTATGTGGAGTGCCAGGTTGTCACCTATGAGCCTCAACAACAATGCGTAGTGGGTGGGGTATAATATTGTTGTCAGGAGGATGGCGGCCATGTAAAATGACCGGATGTCACCTATGAGTCTCCACTATAATGCAGTAATACTGTTCCTAGCAGGACATGGGCCCTGCCGGGTGGCACATGTGTGGGATGAAGGAGCTGGGCCTTCACTGTATTGCAGAGCTGCTGGTTATAATATTGTTAGGAGGACAGTAGCCGTGTGGAGCAGCAGGGTGTCACTGATGTGCCCCCACTGTAAGCAGAGCAGTGAGTGGGGTATAATATTGTTTTTAGGACCATATAAGTCATGTAGAGTGGCAGGGTGTCACCTGTAGGATTGAAGGAGGTCAACCTCCCCTGTAATGCAGAGCCATGGGTGGGGTATGACATTGTTGTCAGGATAGGAGCTGTCTGGAGTGGCAGGGTGTCACCTGTGGGATGGAAGGAGGTCAACCTTCCCTGTAATGCAGAGCTATGGGTGGGGTATGACATTGTTGTCAGGAGGATAGGAGCTGTCTGGAGTGGCAGGGTGTCACCTGTGGGATGGAAGGAGGTCAACCTTCCCTGTAATGCAGAGCCATGGGTGGGGAATGACATTGTTGTCAGGATAGGAGCTGTCTGGAGTGGCAGGGTGTCACCTGTAGGATGGAAGGAGGTCAATTTTCTCTGTAATGCAGAGCCATGGGTGGGGTATGACATTGTTGTCAGGAGGATAGGAGCTGTCTGGAGTGGCAGGGTGTCACCTGTGGGATGGAAGGAGGTCAACCTCCCCTGTAATGCAGAGCCATGGGTGGGGAATGACATTGTTGTCAGGAGGATAGGAGCTGTCTGGAGTGGCAGGGTGTCACCTGTGGGATGGAAGGAGGTCAACCTCCCCTGTAATGCAGAGCCATGGGTGGGGCATGACATTGTTGTCAGGATAGGAGCTGTCTGGAGTGGCAGGGTGTCACCTGTGGGATGGAAGGAGGTCAACCTTCCCTGTAATGCAGAGCCATGGGTGGGGTATGACATTGTTGTCAGGATATTAGCTGTCTGGAGTTGCAGGGTGTCACCTCTGAGCCTCCATCGTAATGCAGGGCTATCAGTGGGGTATAATGTCAGTCATACAACTTCCGGGGGTGCAGAAGTATGCTGGGTCATGTGATGTCACAAAAGACGAGACACCGCACAGGCTAGGCCCTGAACTCCAGCTTCATCTTCTCATTCCAGGGTCGGAATCTGGCAGACCTGCGCAGAAGTCAACCTCGCGGCACTTTCACCATGAGCACCACGCTGCGCCTTGGCAAGCAGATCCTGGAGTCAATAGATTCCATCCATTCTGTGGGCTTCCTGCATCGCGACATTAAACCGGTGAGAGCCATGCTACAAATAAGGGTGGAGAACATTTCTTCTCTCCAGCTGGGGACACTGAAGGGAAATATTTTCAGTGATTATATATTTTGAGGAGTATTTATCTTTAACATTTAGTTTACCTTCACTTACTTTTCCTGAAAACCTCCCTGTGTTTTAGTGCCAGTTCACATATATGTGGATTGGATGCGATTTGAACCGCATCCAATCCTCATGGCATGTGAAACAGCATTGCTTCCTATGGTGCCTGTTCACATATGTCCAGTGCACTGGCAGTGCAGTTTCAGTGTGGATTGAAAAATAGTCCTGTCCGATTTCTGAGCAGTGCGGTCCGGTTCAGGTGCAGATTACAGGCTATTGACTTCTATGGGAACCATTTCTAAATCGTACATGTCATCAGTTGTGAATAGGATAAAATCCTGACCTGAATCTGCTCTAAATCTGTCCTGAACCTACTCTAAACCTGACCCGAACCTGCTCTAAACCTGACCTGAACCTGCTGTAAACCTGTCCTGAACCTGATCTAAACCTGACCTGAACCTGCTCTAAACCTGACCTGAACCTGCTCTAAACCTGACCTGAAACTGATCCTGACCCTGCTCTAAATCTGTCCTGAACTTGATCTAAACCTGTCCTGAACCTGATCTAAACCTGAACTGAACCTGCTTTAAACGTGATCTGAACCTGCTTTAAACGTGATCTGAACCTGCTCTAAACCTGTCCTGAACCTGTTCTAAACCTGTCCTGAACTTGATCTAAACCTGACCCGAACCTGCTCTAAACTTGTCCTGAACCTGATCTAAACCTGACCTGAACCTGCTTTAAACGTGATCTGAACCTGACCTCACCTTGCTCTAAACCTGACCTGAACCTGCACTAAACCTGACCTGAACCTGCTCTAAACCTGACCTGAACCTGCTCTAAACCTGACCTGAACCTGCTCTAAAACCTGACCTGAACCTGCTCTAAAACTGTCCTGAACCTGCTCTAAACCTGTCCTGAACCTGCTCTAAACCTGACCTGAACCTGATCTAAACCTGACCTGAACCTGATCTAAACCTGACCTGAACCTGCGATTTATGTGCGGTGCGATCAGAGCCATACATTATGCATGACTCTAATCACACCACACCCGCACCAAAAAGGTGCAGGACCCTTTTTTTGGTCCGCACTAGAATCGGATTGCATAGGTGTCCCTCTTTTTTTTGGTAAAAAAAAAAACCCCTCTCTTTTGTTGGGTAAAAAAACCCTCTCTCTTTGGTAAAAAAAAAAAACCCTCTTTTTTTTTTTGGTAACAAAATCACTCTTTTTTTTGGTATAAAAAAAACACCTAAAAAAGAAATACTAAAAATCGCTGATAAACTCACATTTTAATGTGACTTTACACAGCTAACATTACCAGCGTGTGCATGGAGCCTCACACAGCTACGGAGCAGTAATTACAAGTAGAGGAGAACGTACAGTGAGGAACAGAAGTATTTGAAACACCCTGCCAAGTTCTCCCACTTCTCCATCATGGAGGGGTCTGACATTCACATTGTAGGACATTCCCACTCTGAGAGACAGAATTTAAAAAAAAATTCAGGAAATCCCATTGTATGATTTGTAAAGAATGTATTTGTCTCGCACTGCTGAACAGAAGTATTTGAACCCCTGAGAAGATCCGTGTTAATATTTGGTACAGAAGCCTTTGTCTGCAATTACAGAGGTCAGACGTTTCCTGTAGTTCCTTGACCAGGTTTGCACTGAAACAGGGATGTTGGCCGACTCCTCCACACCGATCTCCTCTAGATCTGTCAGGTTTCGGGGCTGTCGCTGAGCAACACGGAGTTTCAGCTCCCTCCAAAGATGTTCTATTGGATTTAGGTGTGGAGACTGGCTAGGCCACTCCAGAACCTTGATATGCTTCTTACGGAGCCACTCCTTGGTTCTCCTGGCTGTGTGCTTCGGGTCGTTGTCATGTTGGAAGACCCAGCCACGACCCATCTTCAATGCTCTGACTGACGGAAGGAGGTTGTTGCTCAAAATCTCACAATAAATGGCCCCATTCATCCTCTCCTTAATACAGTGCAGTCGTCCTGTCCCCTTCGCAGAAAAGCACCTCCAAAGCATGATGTTACCACCCCCATGCTTCACAGTAGGGATGGTGTTCTTGGGACGCAACTCATCCTTCTTTTTCCTCCAAACACGGCGAGTGAAGTTTAGACTTTGGTCTCCATCTGACCTCATGACTTTCTCCCATGCCTCCTCTGGATCATCCAGATGGTCATTGCAAACTTCAGACGGGCCTGGACATGTGATGACTTGAGCAGGGGAACCTTCCGTGCAATGCATGATTTGGAAACCATGACGGCGTAGTGTTCTACCGACAGTGACCTTTGAAACTGTGGTCCCAGCTCTCTTCATGTCATTGACCAGCTCCTCCCTTGTAGTTCTGGGCTGATTCCTCACCTTTCTTATCATCAGTGATACCCCACGAGGTGACATCTTGCATGGAGCCCCAGTCCGAGGGAGACTGACAGTCGTCTTTAGCCTCTTCCATTTTCTAACAATTGCTCCAACAGTTGATCTATTTTCACCAAGCTGCTTGGCAATTGCCCCGTAGCCCTTTCCAGCCTTGTGGAGGTCCACAATGTTGTCTCTGGTGTCTTATGACAGCTCTTTGGTCTTGCCCATGGTAGTAGTTGGCGTCTGACTGACTGTGGGGTGGACAGGTGTCTTTAAAGAGCTCAGACAGGTGCTACTAAGTTAGATTAATGAGTGGAGTAGAGGTGGACTTTTTAAAGGCGCAGTAACAGGTCTTTGAGAGCCAGAATTCTTGCTGTTTCTCAGGTGTTCAAATACTTCTGTTCAGCAGTGCGAGACAAATACATTCTTTACAAATCATACAATGGGATTTCCTGAATTTTATTTTTAATTCTGTCTCTCAGAGTGGGAATGCACCTACAATGTGAATGTCAGACCCCTCCATGATTTCTAAGTGGGAGAACTTGCAAAATCGCAGGGTGTTCAAATACTTCTGTTCCTCACTGTATGTCTGATCCAGTGCAATCCTTTCCTGGCTGGAGGACCACAAGCATCATCTAGCTCTTTTCTCTCCAGCCTGACTGTCCCTAACCTGCCCCTTTCATTGATTGGATTTTAGTTATTTCAAACATGAACACAGTCTTACGTGTGGGCATTACCTAGGGCAGGGGTGGGCAACTGTGGCCCTCCAGCTGTTGTAGAACTACAAGTCCCATGAGGCATTGCAAAAATGACAGTTACAAGCATGACTCCCAAAGGCAGAGGCATGATGGTGGGACTTGTAGTTCACCAACAGCTGGAGGGCCACAGTTGCCCACCCCTGACCTAGGGTGATTTGCATGCAAACGCAGTCTGCCAAGGAATGCCCACTCCTCCAGACTGACCTTTGCAGGTCAAGTCATTTTGATATTTGTATAACTCCTCCTAAGAGCCAGGCCGCTGTTTGTATCAGCGCTGAAGACCTTTGAGAAAAGTACTGAGGCAGGGTGCTGTGATGTTTTTAGAAAGCTATGTACAGCACCCTGCTGGTTCCCTCACCAGCCGGATCTGCCTGCATTGCATTGAGAAGCATAGAGACCCAGTGATGACATCACTGGGTCTAAGATGAGGTACTAGGTGTAGGTGCATTTCCATGAGGACACATATGGCCGTTCTCACACTCGGGTGTAATCCTGATTTCTTGGCATACTTTCTCTACAGTCGAACTTTGCCATGGGGCGACTTCCATCCACCTACAGAAAGTGTTACATGTTGGACTTTGGCCTGGCGCGGCAGTATACCAACACCACAGGCGAGGTGCGGCCGGTAAGTGATCCGAGGAGGAGGGGGGGGGGGGCAGGTATATCCGTAGAATCCTCCTGTCATGTAACCCTTTCACGTGAGCTCCATATGTGTGAGTGATCTTCTCCTTCCAGGTCATTTTACTGATCATTTTAAGTTGTTGAATTTTGTTTCCATCATTTTGTTCTTTTTGTTTTTCAGTTTATTTTTCGAGCCATTGTGCGGCCGTTTAATTTTGGCGACTGGGATGCGCAGTGTGAGTCTCCGCCCTCCATGATTTTGTTTTTTTTTTTCTTATGTTCTTTTCATCCTGTATTTCGTAATGTTTGCTACAATGGGTGCAAATGTTTATCACTGGCAGTTTTTTTCGAGGTATTTTGCATCCCGTGTCCTGAAAGTTGTATCAATTTGCTGAAACATAAAAGAAAAAAAGTCATTTGAAAGCAGCATCGGCAATGTGTGTGAGAGGGTGAAGATTGCCTGATGAGTGAGACTGACGTCCGGCACACACAGGGAGCCTCGTGGACATCAACCACAGCCTGACTACCAAATAGACACTTGTACTGAGCAGGATATTGGTGATTACTGTACGTGATGGATGACTGACCAACCATGTGCTCATATTGTACTGATAGTGTGCTTACATTGTGCTAATTGTACTAATATTGGTGATTGCTGCACGATTGGTCATTCATTAGGATGAATGACCAATCGTGTGCTTACATTGTACTGATCATGACATTGGTGATTGCTGCACGTGTAGGATGAATGACCAATCGTGTGCTTACATTGTACTGATCATGACATTGGTGATTGCTGCACGTGTAGGATGAATGACCAATCGTGTGCTTACATTGTACTGATCATGACATTGGTGATTGCTGCACGTGTAGGATGAATGACCAATCGTGTGCTTACATTGTACTAATAATGACATTGGTGATTGCTGCATGTGTAGCATGAACGACCGATCATATACTTACATTTTACTAATAATGACATTAGTGATTACTGCACGTGTAGGATGAACAGCCGATCGTGTACTTACATTGTACTAATAATGACTTTGGTGATTGCTGCACGTGTAGGATGAACGACCGATCGTGTACTTACATTGTACTAATAATGACGTTGGTGATTGCTGCACGTGTAGGATGAATGACTGATCGTGTACTTACATTGTACTAATAGTGACGTTGGTGATTGCTGCACGTGTAGGATGAACGACCAATCATGTGCTTACATTGTACTAATAATGGCATTGGTGATTGCTGCATGTGTAGGATGAATGACCAATCGTGTACTTACATTGTACTAATAATGACATTAGTGATTGCTGCACGTGTTGGATGAACAATCGATCGTGTACTTACATTTTACTAATAGTGACATTGGTGATTGCTGCACGTGTAGGATGAATGACCGATCATGTACGTACATTGTACTAACAATGACATTGGTGATTGCTGCACGTGTAGGATGAATGACCGATCGTGTACTTACATTGTACTAACAATGACATTGGTGATTGCTGCACGTGTAGGATGAACAATCAATCGTGTGCTTACATTGTACTAATAGTGACATTAGTGATTGCTGCACGTGTAGGATGAACGACCGATCGTGTGCTTACATTGTACTAATAATTACATTGGTGATTGCTGCACGTGTAGGATGAACAATCGATCGTGTGCTTACATTGTACTAATAGTGACATTAGTGATTGCTGCATGTGTAGGATGAACGACCGATCGTGTGCTTACATTGTACTAATAATGACATTGGTGATTGCTGCACGTGTAGGATGAACAATCGATCGTGTGCTTACATTGTACTAATAAGTGACATTAGTGATTGCTGCACGTGTAGGATGAATGACCAATCGTGTACTTACATTGTACTAATAGTGACGTTGGTGATTGCTGCACGTGTAGGATGAATGACCGATCGTGTACTTACATTGTACTAACAATGACATTGGTGATTGCTGCACGTGTGTAGGATGAACGACCGATCGTGTGCTTACATTGTACTAATACTGACATTAGTATTGCTGCACGTGTGATGAACGACCGATCACTTACATTGTACTAATAATGACATTGTGATTGCTGCACGTGTAGGATGAACGACCGATCGTGTACTTACATTGTACTAATAATGACATTGGTGATTGCTGCACGTGTAGGATGAACAGCCGATCGTGTACTTACATTGTGCTACTAACGACATTGGGTATAGGTATACCTGTAGGACAATTGACCAATCATGTGCTCACATTGTACGGATGATGACACTGGTGATTATTGTACGTGTAAACGATTGACCACATTGAACCAATAATAACATCGCTGATTACTGTACATAAGACATTAGAAAACAGAAAACGATGCAGCATTGTCACCCGTCAGCACAGGCTGAAACCCTGTAACAATGGACTGCGATGGGTCTTCTATTCCACATCAAGCATTGCAGCCTTCGATTTTATTTGCTAAAATTCATTTGATTTTATAAATTCTTTCATTCTCCTCCATTACATAGTTTATATCTTTATTCGTTATAAGTGATTAGGATTCATTTGTCTTTTAATCCAAGTCCTGAGGACCGCAGTCATCTCATTACTCACACTCTAATTTTCCGTACGGTCGGATGGGCAGCGGGCTGTTGGGATACCAGAGATGATAGGAAGAAAAAAACAATTAGTGGACCTGTAAATATGTAGTTACAGATTGAAAAAAAAAAAAAGACAAAAAAAAAAGATTGAAAAAGTCCTTCAAGTTTAATAATCTTCATATACAGAACCTTGCGGCACTCACAGTTGATCCAGAGGAAGGCAAGAAAAAAAAACTCTTAACCACTTCCAGTCCGGACACTTTTTACCGCCCTTCCAGTCGGGGGGGGGACACTTTTTCCCCCCCTTCCAGTCCGGACACTTTCACCCCCCTTCCAGTCCGGACACTTTCCCCCCCTTCCAGGCCGGACACTTTCACCCCCTTCCTGCCCAGGCCAATTTTTAGCTTTCAGCGCTATCACACTTTGAATGACAATTGCGCGGTCATGCAACACTGTACCCATATGAATTTTTTTTAAAAAAGATTTGAGACAGATAAAGCTTTATTTTGGTGGTATTTATTCACCGCTGGGATTTTTTTTTTTTTTTTTTTGCTATGTAAACGAAAAAGTCCAAAAGTTTTGAAAAAAAAAGTGTTTTTTCTTATAAAATTTTGCAAATAAATAATATTTCATCATACATCTTGGCCAAAATTTATCCCGTTATCTTTTTAGTAAAAAAAAAAAATAACCCAAATTAGTTTATAACCAAAAATTATAATTTTTAAACATTTTCCTTTACATTTTTGTTTTTTTTTAATATTTTTTATGTTTTTTGGTTTTTTTTTTTTTACATAATGTCACCCTAGCAGTACAGTGTCACCATGGTGACACTGTACTACTTGTGGGGGGTGATGAAAATTTTTTTTTTTTTTTTTTGTACACTGATTGCTTTTACACCCATAAAGGCTGTAAAAGCAATCATTTCTCCTTCTCTCTGGCTGCATTCCTGCAGCCATTGAAAACTACTGTGTGAGCTGTGATTGGTCACAGCTTGTCACATGGTACAAGGCAGTCGTGAATAGCCCTGTACCATGTGATCTCTGTGATCATTCACAGATTTCACACGTAGTAAGCAATAATGTCAGAAGTGACATCTTGCTTACTACTCTGCACGTGATCACTGATTGGCCAATCAGTGATCACATGATCGGGACCTCGCAGAGAGGTCCCGTACGACGATCGGTGTTCCACTGTGTCCGGAGGACACAGCGGGCACCAGATCGCGGTGCTGCGCGCTCCCATAGGAGCGCGCACAAGCAAGGGGTGGGGAGGCTGCTTATAAACAGCCACCCTCCCCTGCACTGCCACCGTCCGGCCGTTTATATACAACGGCCGGTCGGGAAGTGGTTAAAAAGCTGTTAGTGAATGGATAGAATGTGAGCTGCACCTTCTCTGAGTGTTTGTGTCTTCCTCCCTGACAGCCCCGCAATGTCGCTGGATTCAGAGGAACAGTCCGCTATGCGTCTGTCAATGCACACAAGAACAGGGTAAGTCACAGCAGGAATGTCGATAATGTGGCTGAGATCCTGGTCTTCTGCTGGAGCTCATAAGATCCTTCCGTCATCTGGTTGTCTCTCTACTCCTTCCTAAGTGTCTCACAACATTCATATTTTTTCTCCGACTGCAGGAGATGGGCAGACACGACGACTTGTGGTCCCTGTTTTATATGTTGGTGGAATTTGCAGTTGGTCAGCTGCCATGGAGAAAGATCAAAGACAAGGTAAGAGCTGAGCCACGCTTTCATGCAATATTTATTTCCCCCCGGTTCACATATATGCAGCCCGCGTTTTGCGTGGGCATAAGAGCCCATTCATTTGAATGGACTCCCGTGCCCCGTGACACGCAGGGAAGAAGTCCCTGCACTTCTGAAAACGCAACCTCGGTTCCCAGTGCGGTTGCGATTTCCAGTGTGGGCGGCGTGCTATTAGAACTAATGGCACATGCCCGCGGGTCCGCATTCCTCTGTGCGGGTGGTGCGGATGCACGGATTTTTTTCGTGCAGATCTGCAGCCACACCACCGGCACAGATGAATGCGGACCCGCGGGCGGGTGCCATTAGTTCTAATGGCACGCCGCCCGCACTGGAGATCGCAACCGCACTGGGGACCCGCGGGCGGGTGCCATTAGTTCTAATGGCACGCCGCCCGCACTGGAGATCGCAACCGCACTGGGAACCGAGGTTGCGTTTTCAGAAGAAGTGCCGGGACTTCTTCCCTGCATGTCACGGGGCACGGGAGTCCATTCAAATCAAGTAAAGCACTGCGTAAATTGAGTGCTATATAGGTACCTTAGGCTAGGTTTCACATCTGTGCGGGTGGTGCGGCTGCACGGATGTTCATGCGGATTTGCAGCTGCACCACCCGCACAGATGTGAACTTAGCCTAAGGTACCTATATGGCACTCAATTTACGCAGTGCTTTACATATACCGTATATTGTACAGTGCCTTGAAAAAGTATTCATACCCCTTGAAAATTTTTCACATTTTATCCCCTTCCTTTAGATTCCACGAGCCGGGCCCTCCTATTCCTTCTGTACTGAAATGTATTGTAATTGTACTGTCTTCCTTATATTGTAGTGCTGCACAAAACTGTTGGCGCTATATAAATCCTGTATAATAATAATAATAATGTTAATAATAATATATAAATCCTGTATAATAATAATGTTAATAATAATATATAAATCCTGTATAATAATAATATTAATAATAATATATAAATCCTTTATAAAAAATAATATATAAAACCTTAGACCTTAATAATAATATATATAATTCCTGTATAATAATAATAATAATAATAAATATATATATAATTCCTGTATAAATAATAATAACTATATAAATCCTGTATAATAATAATAATATATAAATCCTGTATAATAATAATAATATATAAATCCTGTATAATAATAAAACTATATAAATCCTGCATAATAATAATATATAAATCCTGTATAATAATAATAATATATAAATCCTGTATAATAATAATAATATATAAATCCCGTATAATAATAATAATATATAAATCTTGTATTATAATAATAATAATAATATATAATTCCTGTATAATAATAATATATAAATCCTGTATGTATAATAATAATAATAATAATATATAAATCCTGTATAATAATAATAATATATATAAAAAACCTGTATAATAATAATATATAAAATCCTGTATAATAATAATAATATATAATTCCTGTATAATAATAATATATAAATCCTGTATAATAATAATAAATATAATTCCTGTATAATAATAATACTATATAAATCCTGTATTATAATAATAATAATATATATAAATCCTGTATAATAATAATATATAAATCCTGTATAATATAATAACTATATAAATCCTGTATAATAATAATATATAAATCCTGTATAATAATAATAATACTATATAAATCCTGTATTATAATAATAATAATAATAATATATAAATCCTGTATAATAATAATACTATATAAATCCTGTATAATAATAATAATATAAATCCTGTATTATAATAATAATAATAATATATAAATCCTGTATTATAATAATAATAATATATATAAATCCTGTATAATAATAATAATAATATAAATCCTGTACAATAATAATAATATATAAATCCTGTATAATAATAATATATAAATCCTGTATATAATAATAATAATATATAAATCCTGTACAAAATAATAATAATAATATATAAATCCTGTATAATAAAAATAATAATGTTACAAACAAATATGTAAATGTATTTTTATTGGGATTTTATGTGATAGACCGACACAAAGTGTACAAATTTAAAAAGGGATATAAATACGTTTGTATTTCAATGATTTTTATTTTGTTTATAAACATTTTTAAAAAAAAAAGGAGCAACAACACACGCCCACACAGGGGCTATCAATGGCACATAAGAAAATAAAGAAAACAGCGCTCTAACAGCAGCAGAGCAAAAAGTGCGCCACGCAGGGCTATTAATAAATGACAAAAAACATTGGTATAACACAGACCAGGGGCGGACTGACCATTTGGAAACTTGGGCACTGCCCGAGGGCCCGGGGTCAGTAGGGGGCCCCATGAGATGCCCCTGGTACCTTTTTCATAGGCTTTTTTGTAGAGTTTGGGCAAGGACACAGGGGCCCCATGATCCCCTATTGCCCGGGGGCCCCACGAGTTGTCAGTCCGCTCCTGACACAGACAATAACTCAAACCTAAGGCAGCTATCCACCGCCACACCAAAAACAAACAGAAATCGTTGACAAGGCCATGAGCTGGGGCCCGGGAACGCCAATACCGAGCAACATCACAACCTTAGACTAGCCGGGGGGAGCGTGGGAAGAGCATATTGCAACCACGGCTCCCATATTTTCAAAAAATTTCCGTTGGGAGTCGTTACAAATACTCAACATCTGTTCATGGAGCATCACAGTGGTCATACGGTCCCGCACCCCCCTAAAGAGGGACAAAGGGGGCGCTTCCATGCCTGAGCAATTGTTCTAGTGGCCGACAAAAACAGGGATATGTAAGTATCAGGTGCAGCGCTAGAACATATTATGCGGCATAACAAGCAATAAAAACGTATAAAATCCAAAATACTGTGCAAAGTCATATGTCACCTAGTGGTGTACAAAGTGGATATATGTGAATAAAATGTCCCAATTGAAACACAGCCCACCTGAGGATCTGATATGATCCCAATGATGTTGCTTGGGAGAACTAATCCGGGGTGGCAGATGATAAATAAATAAAATTGCGCACTCACCACACGTGCGTAAATACACGCATATGAGATTAGCCTGTCTCATGAGGTATAACACAGGTCATCTGCTTCCAAAGAGGGTCAGGATCTTATACACCTTCTGGTCACGTCTGGATAGGGTGCTCAGAAAACCTTGATGCGCACCACCGTCAGGGGTCCCTTTAAAGGCAGATTCAATAAAGAGAGCCCAATAAGGGACACCACATAGTGTGATACCGTAGAAGACTTTATTCCATCAAGACAGGTGCAAAACAAATCAAGATTAAAAGAAAAGAGGCACTGACCATATAAAATTCAGGATGGCCACCAGCGGTGGCTAGACGTTCAGAAACTGTGGCCCTGACGCGTTTCATGCTATGCACATCCTCATAGGGTGCTGGGCTTACGACAAAAAAAAACAGGGATATGAATACTTTTAAAAAAGGCACTGTACATTCACATCAGTCCCTGCCCTCGGAGCTTACAGTCTAACGTCCCTAACTCCATTCATACATACACATACTAGGGCCAATTTAAACAGGAGCCAGTTCACCTACCAGCATGTCTTTGGAGTGTGGGAGGAAACCGGAGTACCCGGAGGAAACCCACGCAGGCACAGGGAGAACATGCAAACTCCATGCAGGTGGTGCAGCTGGTGAGATTTTGAATCGACCCTGGTACTGTTAGGCAGAATTGCTATCCACTTAGCCCACTGTGCTGCCCAGTATGACCTGTATGTTGTGACAATGATCCCCACAGTGTGACTACTCACTCTCTCCGCTCCCCAGGAACAAGTAGGGATGATTAAGGAGAAATATGACCATCGAATGCTGCTGAAAAAACACATGCCTTCCGAGTTCCACCTCTTCCTGGAGCACATATCTTCTCTGGACTACTTCACCAAGCCCGATTATCAGGTATTGGCGCCTTAGCCACCCATGGGGTACTGTACTGATAGACAGTAGGCTACTGAGGATTCCTACTTCTGGAAATTGAATAGAAATATATTTTGTGGAGTCTCCATTGTATGTGGGCTTATCTAGAATGTCATCATCTATGGAGGAGAAGAGGGGTATGTTGCTATGTGTGGGGGATTGATTAGTGCTTCCATCCTATATGGCGGAGGTGCAGTTGACCTACCTATAGCTTGAAGTAGGGGGGGGGTGGGTCTGCATCTCTAGTGAGTGTGATTCTTATAGGTTGTAGGTCGGTATCACAATTGTAAAGCACAAATATTACAACACCATCATCAAAGAAGGACATGTCAGAGTACAGGGTGTTGGACACTCTGGGGGTAACTTAGGGCTCTTTCACATAGACGTTCCAGTTGGGTCCGCCTGCCCGTTTTTTCAGGTGAACCCAATCGGAGACTCCATTCTCCTCTATGGAGACATGTGTCCGTTTACACCCGCCGACATCCAATCTGCTCCACCAAAAAGGGACGGATGGGGATCCAATTCCCCTTCCGTCCGTCGGATTGGGTCGGATAAAAATTTTTTTTTTTTCTATGGTTGAACTGGATGGACTTTTGTCTTTTTTTTCAGCCAGACTAACTATGTAACGATGAAAATGGACAGACAGTCAGTTTTTCATCCGACCACCCACTGAGGAGAGCGAGCAGCTCTGTGTCTGCTCTGCAGCAGCGGAGTGGACACAGAGCTGGCATCCGCTTGCTCAGTGGAGAGATCCCCCACTGAGCAAGCGGATCCGCTTCATGTGAAAGGAGCCTTACTAAAAACTGGTGCAAACAGATTCTGGTGCAGCTCTGCATAGAAACCAATCAGCTTTCAGGTTTTATTGTCAAAGCCTTATTGAACAAGCTGAAGTTAGAATCTTTACGTCTGGAGGAAAAGAAATGTAATCTCCAAACACGGAAAGGTTTCTTCACAGTAAGAGCTGTGAAAATGTGGAATAGACTCCCTCCAGAGTTTGGTTGTGGCCAGCTCAGTGGATTGCTGTAGGAAAGTCCTGGATTCTTTCTTGGATACACAGAATATAACTGGATATAACATTTATAGGTAAAGTTGATCCAGGGAATATCCGATTGCCTCTCGGGGGATCAGGAAGGAATTTCTTCCCCTGCAGGAGAAAATTGGATCGTGCTTTGCCGGGTTTTTTTGCCTTCTTCTGGATCAACTGTGGGTGTAGGATTATAACTTTTTTTTTTTTAATGGTTGAACTGGATGGACAGGGTGTTGAACACTCTGGGGGTAACTTAGGGCTCTTTCACATAGACGTTCCAGTTGGTCTGCCTGCCCGTTTTTCAGGTGAACCCAATCGGAGACTCCATTCTCCTCTATGGAGACATGTGTCCGTTTACACCCACCGACATTCAATCTGCTCCATCAAAAAGGGGACGGATGGGGATCCAATTCCCCTTCCATCCGTCGGATTGGGTCGGATGAAAATGGTTTTTCTATGGTTGAACTGGATGGACATTTGTCTTTTTTTTCAGCCAGACTAACTATGTAACTATGATCGGTTACTATGCACAGCTGCAGCAAATTCTGTTTGCACTAGTTTAAATCTCTCCCATTTTTTCTTTTTATTCAGATCTTGTTCTGGATTTTTTTTCCCTACTTTGTAACATTATATATGTATAATATTTAAAACAGAACTATAGACATTTTTTTGCATTTTGGATGGAGTAAAGGAGTGTTATAAACTGTCATTTTTTTTTTTTTTTTTTTTGCCACCTGTGTCCTTTTGAATGTATCTACCTTCACTTCCTATCCCATAGCCAAAACAGGAAGAGAGGAAATTCCTGCAAATTGAGGGAATCACTTTGCCCCCCCCCCCCCCCCCCCCCCCCCCCGGTCACCAGAAAACTAGTGTCCCCATTTAGAATATTTCCTCTTTATTACTTTTCTGGGCACAACCCTCAATTTGAGATTTTTCTTTTACCTTCACTTTTAATGCTAATGGTAAACAGGAGCAAATAGTGAGGGTGAAAATCTCCCTTACGGGGGACACAGAAAGCAATAAAGACCTGACAGATGTTCTAAATCCAAACGTTTTGCCCTTTTAGTTTTATACTTTAATATTTAATTTTAAAAATAATAGTGCAGTGCTGTCAATCATAAAAGTTCAATAATAAAAGATGCAAATAATATATAATCCAAAAACAGCATCAAAAGATAAAATTAAAAAGGATGTAAAAGTTCAAATAAATCATCAAGTATGCAGCACCCGAAAGACACTTCCTCTGCTGTAATACGTATCACTGGTGAAGAAAATAACAGAAATGCGCACTCACCGACCGCGCATAAAGGAAGCGCATGTGTATAATATATCCGTGGTATTAGATGGCACCGGATGGACAGCAGGACCCTCTCTAGGAAAAACAGATCATCCAACTTGGGTGAAGGAATGCAGCAGGACTCAGAGGTCTCCCTTAATGCGGATAAACAGCCCTAGAGTAAAATGGCCGCCGGACCTCCTCGTGGTCCCCGGCGGCGTATGACGTCACACGTGCTGAGACCTTTCGTGCTACGGCACTTCATCAGAGGGGAGGCCAACACCTCTGATGAAGTGCCGTAGCACGACAGGCCTCAGGAGGAGCCGACAGCACGTGTGACGTCATACGCCACCGGGACCACGAGGAGGTCCGGCGGGCCATTTTACTCTAGGGCTGTTTATCCGGCATTAAGGGAGACCTCTGAGTCCTGCTGCATTCCTTCACCCAAGTTGGATGATCTGTTTCCTGGAGAGGGTCCTGCTGTCCATCCGGTGCCATCTAATACCACATATATTATTATACACATGCGCTTCCTTTATGCGCGGTCGGTGAGTGCGCATTTCTGTTATTTCTTCACCAGTGATACGTATTACAGCAGAGGAAGTGTCTTTTTTCGGGTGCTGCATACTTGATGATTTATTTGAACTTTTACATCCTTTTTAATTTATCTTTGATGCTGTTTTTGGATATATATTATTTGCATCTTTTATTATTGAACTTTTATGATTGACAGCGCTGCACTATTATTTATTTAGTACTTTGATATGAGGATTGTGTGATTCCTTCAGTGTTCTAGCCGCTACTTATATGAGCGCTCGCTACTATCTGTATTTTTCTATACTTTAATATTTGAATGATATGGTATATATGACATTTGATTTCTTTTGTAGGTATCACGTCTGCCTTTATGGTGTATTTCTAAATTTATCGGTGTAGCTACTTTTTTAGATAAAGGGCGGTAAATGCGTAGTTTTTTTTTTTTTTTACACAGACTGGTGGTCATGTACAGCAGGCGATACATCTGGAGGGCAGGAGAGAGTTTACAGATGGACTGGCAGTGGTGTACAGGGGGTGATACACTGGAGGACAGGGGATTGGTACAGATAAACTGGACAAAAAGTATTACCACGTCTCAGGGAATAGGTGTACAATGCCACACCCCAAATAGTACCAGGACAACAAAAAGGAAATTACTTTCCAAAAATAGGGGACTTTAAAGGCATCGTACTAACAAGACAATTTAATAAAAAACAATATTTATTCAAGTCCATTAAAAGGAATGGTGGAATTATTTATTTATTTCAGGTACTTATATAGCGCCATCAATTTACACGCAGCGCTTTACATACATATTATACATTCACATCAGTCCCCCTAACCCTCAAGGGGCATACAATCTAATGGTCCCTAACTCACATTCATACATACACATACTAGGGACAATTTAGACAGGAGCCAATTCACCTACCGGCATGTCTTTGGAGTGTGGGAAGAACCCGGAGGGAGGAAAACCCACGCAGGCACAGGGAGAACATGCAAACTCCAGGCAGGTGGTGCTGTGGTTGGGATTTTGAACCGACGACCCAAGTACTGCCAGGCGGAAGTGCTAACCATTTAGCCACTGCGCTGCCCAATGATACCTTGGAATGGTGGAATGATACATAACCACCACACATGAGTTACAAGGGCTTTGATACATGAGATTAAAAACAATACAAATGCATAGATAGAATAGACGCTGATATATTCCACTGGTCTGTTCTGAAGCGTTTCGCAGTTCAAAGCTTCATCAGGGACACCATGGAGGCATCACAGCATTTGTCACACATATATCAACCGCTGACTCTTGGGGGATGCCACATACAAGGTCTAAATACCACCCTCCCCTTCCCAGGAACCAAGTTTAGGGGAGGTAAGCCAGACACAGGACCTTTCAGAGGGAGACAAAGGCCACAAACGGCCACACAGTGGAAGCAACAAACACCAACGTGGCAGGGTTTCCAAGAGAGCCAGAGTATGCAGCGGTAGTGGTGTATGGGGGGTGATACACTGGAGGACAGAAAAAAGGTACAGACAGACTGGTAGTAGTGTACAGGGGGGGTATTACATCAGACAACAGGAGAAAGGTACAGATAGACCTGTGTACAGGGGGTGATACTTCAGACTATAGGAGAGAGGTACAGGCACACTGGTCGTGGAGTACAGGGGGGGGGGTACTTTGAAGTATAGGAGAGAGGTACAGGCACACAGGTAGTGGTATACATCAGAGGACAGAAGAACATATGATCTATTAGCGGCGCATAGAGGGCAATACATAGGAGGACAGGAGAGAGGTACTGATAGAATTTTATAGGTGTACAGGGGTGATACTTCAGAGTATAGTAGGGAGGTACAGGCACACTGGTCGTGATGTACAAGGGGTGATATATCAGAGGACAAAAGAACATATGATCTATTAGCGGCCTATAGAGGGAAATACATTGGAGGACAGGAGAGAGGCACTGATAGACTGTTAGAGGTGTACAGGGGTGATACTTCGGAGTACAGGAGAGAGGTACAGGCACACTGTTAGTGGTGTACAAGGGGTGATATATCAGAGGACAGAAGAACATATGATCTATTAGCGGCGCATAGAGGGCAATACATAGGAGGACAGGAGAAAGGTACTGATAGACTTTGATAGGTGTACAGGGGGTGATACTTCGGAGTATAGGAGAGAGGTACAGGCACACAGGTAGTGATGTACAGGGGGTGATATATCAGAGGACAGAAGAACATATGATCTATTAGCGGCCTATAGAGGGAAATACATTGGAGGACAGGAGAGAGGTACTGATAGACTGTTAGAGGCGTACAGGGGTGATACTTCGGAGTACAGGAGAGAGGTACAGGCACACATGTAGTGGTGTACAAGGGGTAATACATCAGAGGACAGGACAGAAGAACATATGATCTATTAGCGGTGTACAGAGTGCAATACATTGGAAGACAGGAGAAAGGTACTGATAGACTGTTAGTGGTGTACAGGGGTGATACTCAGAGTATAGTAAGGAGGTACAGGCACACTGGTAGTGGTGTACAGGGGTGATACTTCAGAGTATAGTAGGGAGGTACAGGCACACTGGTAGTGGTGTACAGGGGTGATACTTCAGAGTATAGTAAGGAGGTACAGGCACACTGGTAGTGGTGTACAGGGGGTGATACTTCAGAGTATAGTAGGGAGGTACAGGCACACTGGTAGAGGTGTACAGGGGTGATACTTCAGAGTAGGTACAGTAAGGAGGATACTTCGGAGTACAAGGAGGGAGAGTGCTACAGGCACACTGGTAGAGGTGTACAGGGGTGATACTTCAGAGTATAGTAGGGAGGTACAGGCACACTGGTAGAGGTGTACAGGGGTGATACTTCAGAGTATAGTAGGAGGTACAGGCACACTGGTAGTGGTGTACAGGGGTGATACTTCAGAGTATAGTAAGGAGGTACAGGCACACTGGTAGAGGTGTACAGGGGTGATACTTCAGAGTATAGTAAGGAGGTACAGGCACACTGGTAGTGGTGTACAGGGGGTGATACTTCAGAGTATAGGAGGAGGTACAGGCACACTGGTAGTGGTGTACAGGGGTGATACTTCAGAGTATAGTAAGGAGGTACAGGCACACTGGTAGTGGTGTACAGGGGGTGATACTTCAGAGAGTACAGAGAGAGGTACAGGCACACTGGTAGTGGTGTACAGGGGTGATACTTCAGAGTATAGTAGGGAGGTACAGGCACACTGGTAGTGGTGTACAGGGGGTGATACTTCAGAGTACAGGAGAGAGGTACAGGCACACTAGTCGTGATTTACAAGGGGTGATACATCAGAGGACAGAAGAACATATAATCTATTAGCAGCCTATAGAGGGCAATACATTGGAGGACAGGAGAGAGGTACTGATAGACTGTTAGAGGTGTACAAGCGGTGATAATTTGGAGTACAGGAAAGAGGAACAGGCAGACTAGTAGAGGTGTACAGGGGGTGATACATCAGAGGACACAACAGTAGATCATATGGAGGGAGATTTACTAAAAATGGTGCACCGAGAATCTGTTGCAGCTGTGTATAATAACCAATCAGCTTCCAGGTTTTATTGTCAAAGCTTAATTGAACAAGCTGAAGTTAGAAGCTGATTGGCTACCGTGCACAGGTGCACCAGATTTTGTGTGCACCAGTTTTAGTAAATCTCCCATATACAGTGTATAGAGGGTGATACATCAAAAGACAGTTAAAGTGGTTGTAAAGGGTAAAGGTATTAAGGTACAAAATCTTTTAGGTACAGCTCCGACCCCCCCCTAAATACCTATGTGAGCCCAATCCTAATCCAGCGCTGTGCCCCGAGAGCATCAGACTGGACTCAGTGAGAGCAGTGCGAGCCATTGGCTCCTGCTGCTGTCAGTCAAACCAAGTGGCGGGGGGGGGGGGATGAGCAGCACTGTGTGTGTCAATAGATGCATTATTGAGCTTGCAGGAGTACCCCCCCAGCAAGTGGCTTGCTAGTGGGGTTACTCAGAAGGCAGGAGGAGTCAGGAGCACCGGCGGGGAACCCTAGAAGGATCAGGGCTGCTCTATGTAAAACCATTGCACAGAGCAGGTAAGTATAACATAAGTATATACAGTCAGGTCCATAAATATTGGGACATCGACACAATTCTAACATTTTTGGCTCTATACACCACCACAATGGATTTGAAATGAAACGAACAAGATGTGCTTTAACTGCAGACTGTCAGCTTTAATTTGAGGGTATTTACATCCAAATCAGGTAAACGGTGTAGGAATTACAACAGTTTGCATATGTGCCTCCCACTTGTTAAGGGACCAAAAGTAATGGGACAGAATAATAATCATAAATCAAACTTTCACTTTTTAATACTTGGTTGAAAATCCTTTGCAGTCAATTACAGCCTGAAGTCTGGAACGCATAGCAATCACCAGACGCTGGGTTTCATCCCTGCTGATGCTCTGCCAGGCCTCTACTGCAACTGTCTTCAGTTCCTGCTTGTTCTTGGGGCATTTTCCCTTCAGTTTTGTCTTCAGCAAGTGAAATGCTTAATCGGATTCAGGTCAGGTGATTGACTTGGCCATTGCATAACATTCCACTTCTTTCCCTTAAAAAAAACTCTTTGGTTGCTTTTGCAGTCTGCTTTGGGTCATTGTCCATCTGCACTGTGAAGCGTCCAATGAGTTGTGAAGCATTTGGCTGAATATGAGCCGATAATATTCCTGAAACACTTCACAATTCATCCGGCTGCTTTTGTCAGCAGTCACATCATCAATAAATACAAGAGAAGCAGTTCCATTGGCAGCCATACATGCCCACGCCATGACACTACCACCACCATGCTTCACTGATGAGGTGGTATGCTTGGGACCATGAGCAGTTCCTTTCCTTCTCCATACTCTTCTCTTTCCATCACTCTGGAACAAGTTGATGTCGGTCTCATCTGTCCATAGGATGTTGTTCCAGAACTGTGAAGGCTTTTTTTACATGTCGTTTGGCAAACTCTAATCTGGCCTTCCTGTTTTTGAGGCTCACCAATGGTTTCCATCTTGTGGTGAACCCTCTGTATTCACTCTTCTCTTGATTGTTGACTTTGACACACATACACCTACCTCCTGGAGAGTGTTCTTGATCTGGCCAACTGTTGTGAAGGGTGTTTTCTTCACCAGGGAAAGAATTCTTCAGTCATCCACCACAGTTTTCCGTGGTCTTCCAGGTCTTTTGGTGTTGCTGAGCTCACCGGTGCGTTCCTTCTTTTTAAGAATGTTCCAAAACAGTTGTTTTGGCCACGCCTAATGTTTTTGCTACCTCTCTGATGGGTTTGTTTTTTGTTTTTTCAGCCTAATGATGGCTTCACTGATAGTGACAGCTCTTTGGATCTCATCTTGAGAGTTGACAGCAACAGATTCCAAATGCAAATAGCACACTTGAAATGAACTCTGGACCTTTTATCTGCTCATTGTAATTGGGATAATGAGGGAATAACACACACCTGGCCAGGGAACAGCTGAGAAGCCAATTGTCCCATTACTTTTGGTCCCTTAACAAGTGGGAGGCACATATGCAAACTGTTGTAATTCCTACACCGTTCACCTGATTTGGATGTAAATACCCTCAAATTAAGGCTGACAGTCTGCAGTTAAAGCACATCTTGTTTGTTTCATTTCAAATCCGTTGTGGTGGTGTATAGAGCCAAAAATGTTAGAATTGTGTTCATGTCCCAATATTTATGGACCTGACTGTGTGTGTATATATATATATATATATATATATATATATAAAGATACTTTACAATCACTTTCAGACGTACAGACAGACTGGCAGCAGTGTTCGCACCATAAGTGTATCTTTACAAATGATGTACATGCTTGTTACATGTATGTACAGAGAGCGGTGTTTTTTTTGGTGAGGAGCGTGCTGTGATGTATATTTTTTCCCGGAGTGTAATGAAACCTTTTGTACCTTTGCAGATGATTATGTCTGTGTTTGAGAACAGTATGAAAGAGAGAGGAATCACAGAGAATGAGGCCTTTGACTGGGAGAAGGGTGGAACAGACATCCTACTGTCTACCAGCACCTCCACCCCACCGCAGCAGAACACCCGGCAGACAGCTGCCATGTTTGGGTGAGATTTTTGTCTTTTTTTCCTCATTTTTGTCTTCTTGCTCTGAGTGGGAATCAACTAATCTAGTCAACTGCCCCACTAAACCTTCAATGAAAAACAAGTAAACAGATGGGTACAGTCTTTGTCCTACAGTCATAACCACTTCCAGTCCGGACACTTTCACACCCCCTTCCTGTCCAGGCCAATTTTCAGCTTTCAGCGATATCACACTTTGAATGACAATTGCGCAGTCATGCAACACTGTACCCATATGAATTTTTTAGCATTTTTTTGAGACAGATAAAGCTTTATTTTGGTGGTATTTATTCACCACTGGGATTTTTTTTTTTTTTTGCTATGTAAATTAAAAAGTCCAAAAATTTTGAAAAAAAATGTTTTTCTTATAAAAGTTTGCAAATAAATAGTATTTCATCATAAATCTTGTCCAAAATTTTTTCTGTTATCTTTTTAGTAAAAAAACAAAAAATTAGTTTATAACCAAAATGATAATTTTGAAACATTTTTTTTTACATTTTTTTTTATTTTTTTATGTTATTATTTATGTTTTTTTTTTTTACATACTGTCACCCTAGCAGTACAGTGTCACCATGATGACACTGTACTACTTGTGGGGGGTGATGAATATCATTCCTTTTTATCTCTAGCTGCATTCTTGCAGCCATTGAGAACTACTGAGTGAGCTGTGATTGGTCAGAGCTTGTCACATGGTACAAGGCTGTTGTGAATAGCCCTGTACCATGTGACCTCTGTGTTCATTCACAGATTTCACATGTAGTAAGCAATGATGCCACAAGTGACATCTTGCTTACTACTCTGCATGTGATCACTGATTGGCCAATCAGCAATCATATGATCGGGACCTCGCACAGAGGACACAGCGGGCACCGGATCACGGTGCTGCGCGCATCCCGGGGAGCGCGCACAAGCAGGGTGCGGGGGAGACCGTTTATAAACAGCCACCCGACCCTGCACTGCCACCGTCCAGCCATTTATATACAATGGCCGGACAGAGGTGGTTAATAATGGGAGAATAATTAGCGGTCATCAGTAATTGCTCATATGTATGTATATGTGTTGCCATCTTTGCAACTATTCAGACGTAGTCGTCTTAATGGACCTCTTGTTGTCTCTGAATGCAGGGTGGTGAATGTGACTCCAGTGCCAGGGGATTTGTTGAGGAGAGAACACCGAAGATGTCCTACAAGGGGAGCACCTGAGCGACCAGGAGAATGCCCCTCCCATCCTTCCCGGCCGGCCGGCAGACCTCACCGGACAGGTCCCCAACACGGGCTTCAATGACACCGAGGTCTGGGAGGAGACAGATGTGAATCGGAATAAGCTAAGAATCAGTATCAGTAAGGTACGGGGACAGGAACGGGCCGGCTCAGAGTGTGCTTTTCTTGGTCCTGTCTCCAGAGCCATTTAGAGAGGTCTGAAAATTCGACTTTGGTTACTAGCCCAACCTGCATACAGGCTATACTATACACTCGATTTTAATAACTGCTATTCCCCTCCTCTCCGACTAACAAATGCTGTAAATGTAATGTGCAAATCAGAAGTCTCAAATGTACAGTCGCAGCTATTAAGGAACGTGTTCTCCTTCCAGGACGTGCGATTACACGTTGAATGATGACCATGGTGTAATGTCAGAGCCAATGTAGGCATAGCTGGCAATGTAATGATGTTATGTGATTATTCACCCCCATTAGTAACCACTGACCTTCCTGTGGTAACAATAATAATAAATAGTGTAGTGCTAATAAATATTAAATAAAAATATATATACCTAAATATGTGATGATAATAATAATATGAAAATTAAAGAAATAAACATGCAGATGAGCAAATCTATTGTGATATGATCCAATAAGGATCTAATTAGTGCCACAAAAAACGTAGTGCAAAGCAACGTGAAATAAACAAACTGGTCCTCAATCAGGACCTCATATAGTGAGAAAAAACAATAATAACATCAATAACCACCCTCCAAAAATATCCCTACTAGGGATTTTACAGATAAAAAACACACAGACTGGTGCAAAACATCCGTGAATCCCTAAATTAGGGGAGAAATCTCCTAAACAAAATGACAAGTGCTTACATATAAAATGCAATTCAAAAAAACTTCAGTGAACCCAGGCACCCTGAGGAAGTCACGTGACGATGGTGACGCAACGCGTAGGTACGCGGTGACATAGTTCCGATACGCGCGGTGACGTACTTCCGGCGTGGACGCCATCTTGGCACACCTGAAAACCATGCAGAGGTACACCATAGCATGAAGCCGCTTATCTACATATTGATCACCATATAGAAGCGCAGGAGGAACCCTATATTTACTTTTGACCTTCCCGTGGTGTCATGTGATCATTCAGAGACATAGTGAATAGTGGCCATCAGATGATGTCATGTGATCATTTACCCCTATTAGGGTGACTCTTGTCCATCCTGTGATGTCATCTGACTATTCAGAGACATTGTAATGAAGGCTGGCCATCAGTTGATGTCATGTGATCCCCCAGAGCCAATAGAATGAAAGCTAGTTGTCAATGTGGTAAATACAGAGATGGTATCATGTGATCCTTCAGAAAACATTTCCAGATATTGTTCTTGAAGTGAGGCGATTCTGCTATCCTTAGTTTTCAGATTTTGTGACTGCATGAGCTTCTAATGATAGAAATCCTCAGGGTGTAATAATGAATGTGGTCTCCTCCCTCTGCAGACACAGTGCCTGATGGAAGACGATCACAGCCGGCATGGGTGTCCCAGCTCACCCGTCCGGGCTCCTCCCGAGTCCCCCACTACACAGGCACGCTCTCTTCATTACCGGCGCGTCAACAGTCCTGAGTCCGAACGGCTATCTACAGCAGAAAGAGCTGATCTTCCAGAGAGGAGGTAGGAGTCCACAGCATTGACACATAGGGATTTGACTTCCATAGATCAAGCAGAGCCAGTGCCCTTTAGCTTCTTTATATACACCTTACAATTGATTTTCTTTCTCATTCATTGATGGACAAGAAATTTTGTACTTTTGTGTTATACTGCCGCCTGCAGAAAGATTAGACACTGGCAAAAAATACATTGTAGGCCAGCCCAGTATAACCCCTCCTACTATCGGCATGCCTCAGTTTTTTGCTAGTGATCTAGGAGGATGGACATCTTTTCTTCAGCTCTGCTGAGAAAAATCTAACCTGTTTTTGCCTGTTTTTTCCTTCAAATTCTTCGTTCACTCAAGATTTTCTGCTGCGTCAGTGTTTGAGCTGTTCTCTGTATGCAGCTCTCTCTGTATTGGCCTTTCCTAAGCCTGACGTTGAAGTGTCATACCTGGACCCAGCTGGACCAAACATTGCAAAACTAGCCTGGAATATGAGCTTCAATGAGTTCCGCATTTCACAATTCCCATTCTGGTAACAAGCTAGGTGTGGAGCATTGCTTCAGCATTTTCCCTGTCTCTGAAGACACTCTCCTAAGTAGGCTGTTTGGGTGAAGCATCCGGAGCTTCCTCACTATTTGCACTGCTGGACAGTAATTCCCATTACTGCTGGTTTTATCGGGAAAGGGGTTAAGGCTGAGGGATTGAGCACTGGCTCCATCCGCTGAGTGGAGTAACACACGCTTCGTGCTCATTTTCCTGATGCTGCTCCTGCTTTTAGGAGCCACATGGAATTCTGATCCTCAGTCTACTTCTACTGCCCACCTTCTGGTGCACTGCAATGGGTCTTGGCCATGACATTGATCTGTCAAACCCTGGCTGACTGATCCAAGGTTATTTGAAAGGATGTGATCCCTTAAACTCTTGGTCCTACAGTGTGTGGAATACATCTGCAACTCTGAGCTACTACGTGGACAAGTTGTTAGAGGTCTCCTGCCTCATCATCTCCTATAGGAGGCTCCTATCCATGTACATGAGGAGGACTCTTTGGCTAATGTGTTGGACTGCAGAGGCCGCATGCATGAAAGTGGTTTGTTCTGTATGACCTTCACAGGACAATGCCTCTTCGGGGCTGCCCTGGATCCCCTCATCAAGGATGCCACCAATAGCCAAAGTACTCATCTTCCTCGGCAAAGGAAGTCTAAAGGCTCAGTCTGAGATTCATATCTCTCTCTCCTCTCCTCTTCTCTCCTCTCCACTATCCTCTCCTCTCCCCTCACCTCCTCGCTCCTCTCCTCTCCCCTCACCTCTCTTCTCCTCTCCTCTCCTCTCCTTTCCTCTCCTCTCCTTTCCTCTCCTCTCCTCTCCTTTCCTCCTCTTTCTTCTCTTCTCCTCCTCTTTCCTCTCCTCTCCCCTCCCCTCACCTCCTCTCCTCTCCTGATTCTCTCCTCTCCTTTCCTTATTCTCTCCTTTTCCTCTCCCCTCTCCTCTCTCTCTCTCTCCCCTCCTCTTCTCTCTCCTCTCCCCTCTCCTCTCCTCATTCTCTCCTTTCCTCTCCCCTCTCCTCCCCTCTCCTCTCCCCTCTCCTATCCTCTCTCCTCCTCTCCTCTTCTCTCCTCTCCTCTCCTCCCTGTTCATTCACAAACTGAAGCATGGTAAACACATGGAGAAAAGAGGGGGGATCAAAGTTGTCAATTAGGATCTTGGACAGGAGAGGGGTGATTGGAGGGGGTGGGTCAATTTTTGAAATCGATCCCCCTGTGGTTCCCCCTGGAGCACCTGACAGGTCGGCAACAGGGGGAGGGGGAGAAGCCAGCTGTGCCACAGGGAGGGGGAACTAAAGCTGCCCAGGCCCCCTTCTTAAACTGATGGGTCCCGGGCCCAATACAGAAGGGCTAGTGCTACCCCATTATCAGAGGCCCTGTGCAGTCATTTTGTCAATCACTATGGAAAGGTGGATATAGAAATGTTTTGTTTTCCTCTTCATTTATAACTGACTGATCATCATAAACCGAATTTCGTTTGTAAAAGACAGGTCTTTAGCTTTTAACAAAGTTGAACATTATGTAGCATAAAACGTATCTAGAATTACATCTGTAATTTGTGCCCTGCAGATCCCGCATGGACCTCCCTGCTTCTCCATCTCGCCAGGCGTGCTCATCGCAGCCTGCTCAAATGTTGTCCATTGACACGGGTCAGGTTGACCGGCAAGCTAGTGGCCGCATGGAAGTCTCGGCATCGGTAGAACATGAAGCCCTTAGTAATGCCTTTCGCTCGGTCCCACTTGCTGAGGAGGAGGACTTTGACAGTAAGGAATGGGTCATCATAGACAAAGAGACTGAGTTGAAGGACTTCCATCCAGGAGCAGAACCAACCACCTCGGGGACAACAGATGAAGAGCCTGAGGAGCTCCGGCCTTTGGATGATAGGGGGAGGAGAGGAGAAAGACTGTGGGCGGAGATGGTGCAGTGAGGCCTAAAGTGCATGAAGCTCGGCCTCGAACCATGCAGACTGTAGCGGAGGAAGAGCCCTCCTCCCCACATGAAGGTTCTGAAGGCAGAGGGGATGTTCCACCTGCAAGTCCATCACACTCCCATTCGGCATCACGACAACGGAGGAGGGAGTCTGACCCCAGCGGACCTCAGAGACAGGTAAGTCAAGAGATGATGGAAAATATGTCATATGACACCTAACATAACTGCATGTTCACCTACATATGTAAAGACTCGTTATGCCAGATGCACAAGGGAGATTATTATTAATTCTGACCAAAGTGTGAGATGGGTACCATTATTGATAGAACTGCTGGTTGCACACCATCGCTGTAGGTTGTACACATCAATTTAGGACTTCTGCACAGGAGAGTGGTCACAGTATTACCAGCTGCTATTGCATAGTGATGTAATCACCAGGCCAGAAGTATTCTATTCTTTAGGCTGCAGAAAACATATTGGACGTAGGAGGAGCTCAGTCCACGGGCAGAGTGCTAGAAATGAAATGAGAAGCCAATTGGGAGAGTTTCCTACATGTACAGTGGAGTTTGAGGTGTAAGTTGGGTACATGGGTTGTAAAAAGGAAGGGATCGCCGCAACTCCCAACCAGCCCAGGTGAATTAATGATAAGGAGCAGCTTTACCGTACATGTTTACACCAAACCACGCTCCCTGATGCATTTGGCCCCACCCACCCGGGCTTAGTCATAGGGTGGGCAGAACGAAATGCATCAGAATGCCTGGTTTGGTGGAGACACATAGGCTGAGGCCGCTACTTATCGTTTATTCACCTGGGCTGGATGGAAGTAGCGGCTATCCCTTCTTCTTTACATTTATTAGCCCTCTGGATTGGTAATAGCACAGGCCTGCCCCCTATACTCTGGCACACAGGGATATGCTTTCACCTCTACTTTGAGTAGTGCCAAAAGCAATTGAACAGGTTGGGTACATGGGTCGTCTCAGAAAAGGACAAGTCAGGACTGGAAAGAATGCCGATGAAATATCACATCTTGCCCTAGAGTACCATTACAGATATAAAACCACCAGAGATAAATAGGAAGAGGCTATACGTATTTATACAGGAGAAGCCTGAACTCTGCACCATATATGTCATGTTACAGGGTCACCCACCAGGATAGCAAGGGGAGAGCCAGGTATGCTGGGAACAAGGAGGGGCAATCATATCTCAAGCACAGATGGTAGTAATGCTAGATTGTAGGGATGATCACATGATGTAATCAGGGACCAGGGTTGTGGTAAAGTGATCAGGGTTGCTGTCAGGTGATCAGGATTGCTGTCAGGAGGTGATTAGGAGTGCGGTCAAGTGATCAGGGTTTTGGTCAGAAGATGAAGATTGCAGTCAGATGATCAGGGTTGTGGTCAGGAGATGAAGATTGCAGTCAGGTGATCAGGGTTGTGGTCAGGAGATGAAGATTGCAGTCAGGTGATCGGGGTTGTGATCAGGAGATGAACGTTGCAGTCAGGTGATCAGGGTTGTGATCAGGAGATGAAGGTTGCAGTCAGGTGATCAGGGTTGTGGCCAGGAGATGAAGGTTGCAGTCAGGTGATCAGGGTTGTGATCAGGAGATGAAGGTTGCAGTCAGGTGATCAGGGTTGTGGCCAGGAGATGAAGATTGCAGTCAGATGATCAGGGTTGTGGTCAGGAGATGAAGATTGCAGTCAGGTGATCAGGGTTGTGATCAGGAGATGAAGATTGCAGTCAGGTGATCAGGGTTGTGATCAGGAGATGAAGGTTGCAGTCAGGTTATCAGGGTTATGGTTGGGTGATCAAGATTGGGGACAGGTGATCAGGGCCTTGGTTAGGTGATCAAAATTGGGGTCAGGTGATCAGTGTTGCAGTCAGGTGATCAGCGCTGTGGTAATGAGACCAAGGTTGCGGTCAGGTGATCAGGGTTACAGTTAGGTGATCAAAGTTGGGGTCAGGTGATCAGGGTTGCAGTCAGGTGATCAGGGCTGTGGTCAGGAGACCAAGGTTGCGGTCAGGTGATCAGGGTTACAGTTGGGTGATCAAAGTTGGGGTCAGGTGATCAGGGTTACAGTCAGGTGATCAGGGCTGTGGTCAGGAAACCAAGGTTGCGGTCAGGTGATCAGGGTTACAGTTGGGTGATCAAAGTTGGGGTCAGGTGATCAGGGTTACGGTCAGGTGATCAGGGCTGCAGTCAAGTGATTGGGGTTGCAGTTTGGAAATGGGTTTGGTGATGTAGATAGCTTTAGAAATTCTGAATAGAAGAAGCTTGACGTGAAGAGTGTCTACTTTCTCATCTCACCAACCCTCATGGTAGTCGGGGAATGGTAGGCTGGAGTGTTTCTCTATGTGGGTGCTATGAGACAGATGGATCTGTAGTTGGGGTGTTATACAATGGATCATTATTATTCAGCCTGTTTATGGTGCAGTATTTTATAGTATTACTTTTTTATCTATCAGGGACACTGGTCTCTACATTCTGGCATTCTTCCAGTTCTGACTTCTTAGATTTTTAAATAACTTTCTTCTCTGTATGTAAAACATTAGAGAGGGAAAGGTGCTCCTGGCTGGTAGTATGTACTGCGTACAGCGCCATTTGTACTTAGAAAAGTGCGCGTCATGTTATTGGTTGCATGTTAGCCAGAGACTCTAGTGTGACCCCTGCCACCCGTAGTGACCCTTTCCACCTGAAGTGACCCCCTCAACCTGGAGTCACCCTCCCATCCAGAGTGACTCCCTCAAATTAGGGTGACCAGTTCAATCCGGAATGACCCATTACACCTGGTATGACCCACTTCATCCAATGTGACCCCCCTCCACCCAGAGTGACCCCATCAACCCGGCATGACCCCCTTCACCTGTTATGACCCACTTAATGCGGTGTGCAAGCCTCCATGTCACATGACCTCCTCCACTAAGCTTGACCCCTTCCACCCAGGGTGACCCTCTCCACTCAATGTGACACTCTCCCACTCCACAGGACACTTTGCACCCAGGGTGACCCTCTTCACTCAGCGTAACTTCCTCCACCCCGTTTGACCCCCTGCACCAGGAATGACCCCATCACCCTGCATCGCTGTGCTGTAGTTCTCACTGAGTATATTGAACCCTGGGTATATAAACTAGTGACACTGGGAAGTTTGGCCTGTTTCACACAGGCTTCAGCTTGTATAGGAGCAGTGTGAGCAGCAAGCTTTGATAAAACATTTTCAGAGCTTTTGGTAAGCTTTGTTGAAGCTTTTAAAGTACCATTGAGTTCCAGTTTATAAATGTTGAACAAGGATCCTAATAGGAGTGCTTATTGCCACTTTAAGCAAGCTGCTAGTAAGCTTCAACACTCCTGCTGAAGCCTGCTAGCAGCTTGCATAAAGTGGCAGTCAGCACTCCCATTAAGATCTGTCTTCAACATTTACAATCTGGTGCTTTAGTAGCTTCAAAAATGCTTGCTGACAGCTCTGTACATGTTTTGTCAAGGCTTGCTGTTCACACTGCTGTTATACAAGCTGAAGCCCGTGTGAACCAAGCCTTGATGATAGTGCAGCCTCAGCAGTATGTTGACTATGGTGGAGGGTTTGATGACCTAAGTAGCATTTAGTCACCTCTGCAGTGGGTCAGGTGGGTTCTGGCATTTTCTTTAATTCTGATTTTTGTGTCTCCAGTGCACAGTCCATCCGGTTCCTGTAATATGTAGTCATCCTGACTTCTCTGTGCAGTTCCGTGTCGCTCCACCTTTATCTCTTCCGCACTGTGTAAACTGGTTTATATTGACTGCCGCAAAATCCGTTCCTCAGAGCCTCCCAACTACACAGCTTTATTTTCCTCCACAAGGGAGGCCCATTGGGAAGGGCAGGTGGTGCAGGCCCATGGTACGGGGGTGCTCCCCGAAGACGCCCACAGCATGCACTAACGCCACACGTAGCTAGAAGCAGGAAGCAAGTCTCAACATTGCCTGACTCCTTTCCCTCCGCTCTTCTTGATGTTTTTCAGCTGGAGGAGGACAGGCTTTCCCAGCACCCCCTGCCGAGGTACAGCCCCCTCCGTTAGACTGGCGTCTTCCGTCTTCTCATCCTCAACTCTGGAGACAGAACATTATCCACATCCTACAGGCACCTTCATCCAGCGCAGCCGCTCCGCGGAGAGCAGTCCCGTACGCCTGCCTCACCGTCGCCATCCACCATTGCCAGCTGGCAACCACAGACTGGTGCCCTCTGTGCTGCGCATCTCCCGCTCCCAGCTCCAACAGGTGTGGGCACGCTTCACACACAAAACATAGTTGTGCCACGGCTGGAGGCATGAAGGGCCAGAGGAGGGACAGCCATGATCAGGTAGCCGAGAGCCTGGAATCTAAAATGCAATATAACCATCTGAAGACATCTGCGAGCTTCCCGCCTCTTCAAGGTACCCAGCAAAGTTCTGCTCCCTTCCTCCCCCACCCACAGTAAACCTCTCTCATCCCCATGTTGGTGAAGAGAACGAACCCTTTATGAGTCTGCTCCATTCTGCTTGCACAGAGTGCTCTGTGTGTGGCCGATCCCTGGAGACTCCAAAGTCCTCAGTCCAACCCTTCCCGTCCTCCACCATCCCTTCACCAGCACTGAGCCCTGCCGGGGGCATTTCTACACCACAGTCTCAGCATATCCTCCGGAACTGACACCACACAGAGGGGACGATGGGACCTGCCCGCTTCATGTTGTTGCACCGTAGTTTTTTTTTTTTTTTTTTTTACGCTGAGCGGATGACATTGTCAAACTGTGGATCCAAGCCAGCGCCACATGCAATAGGAGAGACTGCTGTCTTCTTTCAGTTTCTGGTCTCTGCGAGACTACCTGCACTGCAGAAGGAAGACCTGGCGGAGCACAGGAATTGCATGCCCCACCGCCTGAGCCTGCGCCACCTGCCTGCCCCCATACTAGCAACCCCGCTGTGCCTACCCGCTAAACCCCGAAATGCAAAGGAGGCCCTAAATATAACAAAGGGCTCAATACAGAGGTGTCTTCTGGGAAAGGAACGAGCCGCAGCATAGAGCAGTACTAAGCCTTGTGCTGCAGCAGATCTGGGCAGCCTACTCACCTATAGGTCGCAGCATGGGTAGGAAGCACACAGGGATTTGTAGTTCTCCCCTGTGCCTAGGCTCATTTATCACTGACATACAGGTGGAGTGAAGGGTCTGGACCTGCCCACTGCCACCGGGGTCCTTATTCTGGGTGGAGCTTGAGTGTTACTTCAGCTTTTTGTCAGGGAAGATCAGGAAGGAAAGTAAGCTTTTAAACAATAATTATACTTCTCTGGTGTCCTTCTGTACAGACCCTTGTAGACATCCTATCCAATGGGAGCTTTCCATCATTAGCACCAATGCTGCGTGAGGTCTCCTCCCCGTTTTTCATATTACTCCTCCTACAGCATCATTTAACTCCTCCCTGTTATTTCATATAACACCTCCTACGACATCCTATAACTCCTCCTACATTGTCCTATAAGTCCTCCCTGTTATTTCATATAACACCTCCTACAACGTCCTATAACTCCTTCCTGTTATTTCATATAACTCCTCCTACAATGTCCTATAACTCCTCCCTGTTATTTCATACATCCCCTCCTACAATGTCATATAACTCCTCCTATGTCATATGACTCCTCCCATGTTATTTCATATAACTCCACCTACAACGTCATAAAACTCCTCCATGTTATTTCATATAACTCCTCCTACAACATCATAAAACTCCTCCCTGTTATTTCTTATAACTCCTCCTACATCATCATAAAACTCCTCCCTGTTATTTCATATAACTCCTCTTACAATGTCATATAACTCATCCATGTTATTTCATATAACTCCTCCTACAACATCATAAAACTCCTCCCTGTTATTTCTTATAACTCCTCTTACAACTTCATAAAACTCCTTCCTGTTATTTCATACAACTCCTCCCACAATGTCATAAAACTCCTCCCTGTTATTTCATATATCCCCTCCTTCAATGTCATATAACTCCTCCCTGGTATTTCATATATCCCCTCCTTCAATGTCATATAACTCCTCCCTGTCATTTCATATAACCCCTCCTCGAACATTATGTAACTCCACCCTTTCGTTTCATAATATTCCTCCCACCATGCCATATAACCCCTCCCTGTTATTCTGTATGATTCATATAATTCCATATAACCCCTCCTACCATGCTATATAAATCCTCCCTATTATTCCCTATAGTTCCTCCAATAATTTCAAATCACCCCTCCTACCACACCATATAACTCCTCCCTGTTATTTCTGTATAATTTAAATAATTCCATTTCACCCGTCCTGCCATGCTATATATAGCCCCCCCCCCCCATTATTTTGTATAATTTCATATTACCCTCTAACTCCCCTATATTACCCCTGTAACTCCTCCATATTCGTATAATTCCTCCTATATTTTAATATCACTCCTCCTACCATGCCATATAACCCCTCCCTATTATTCTGTACAATTCCTCCTTTAATTCCATATTACCGCTCCTACCATGCCATATAACCCCTCCTTATTATTCAAAATAATTCCCCCTATATTTTCATATCACCCCTCCTATCACACCATATAACACCTCCCAGTTATTCTTTTTATAACTCTAATAATTCTAGATCACCCCTCCCACCATGCCATATAACCCCTCCCTATTCTCTATAATTCCCTCTATAATTTCATATTTCCCTTCCCACCATGCCATATAACCCCTCCCTATTCCCTAAAATTCCTCCTAAATTTCATATCACCCCTCCCACCATGCCATATAACTCCTCCCTATTCTCTATAAATCCTCCTATAATTTCATATCACCCACCATGCCATATACTCCCCTATTCCTAGAATTCCTTCCTATAATTTCATATCACCCCCTCCACCAATACCCCTTCCCTATTTTCTCTATAAATCCTCTATAATTTCATATCCCCTCCCACTATGCCATATAACCCCTCCCTATTCTCTATAATTTCTCCTAAATTTCATATCACCCCTCCCACCCCTACCCCCTATTCCTATAAATCCTCCATTAATTCATATCACCCCTCCCACCCATATATCCCCTCCCTATTCCCTAAAATTCCTCCTATAATTTCATATCACCCCTCCCACCATGCCATATATCTCCTCCCTATTCCCTAAAATTCCTCCTATAATTTCATATCACCCCTCCCACCATGCCATATAACCCCCTCCCTATTCTCTATAATTCCTCATATAATTTCATATCACCCCTCCCACCATGCCATATAACTCCTCCCTATTCTCTATAATTCCTCCTATAATTTCATATCACCCCTCCCACCATGCCATATACTCCTTCCCTATTCTCTATAAATCCTCCTATAATTTCATATCACCCCTCCCACTATGCCATATAACCCCTCCCTATTCTCTATAATTCCTCCTATTTCATATCACCCCTCCCACCATGCCATATAACCCCTCCCTATTCTCTATAATTCCTCATATATTTCATATCACCCCTCCCACCATGCCATATAACTCCTCCCTATTCTCTATAATTCCTCCTATAATTTCATATCACCCCTCCTACTACGCCATATATAACCCCTCCCTATTCTCTATACATCCTTCTATAATTTCATATCACCCCTCCCACCACGCCATATAACCCCTCCCTATTATTCTACATAGCTCCTTGCACTGATACTTAGTACTGCTATATGCTGTGTGTGTTTATATTGCCCACGGTGGGAGGATGAGATCCCGGGATCCTTTTCCCGTGGACTGTCTGTAGGACGTGGAATTGCGCTGCCTCCGGAATGTTATATGTTGTATGACGAAATACACACGCAGACCTCACACGAGGAGGGGGAGACCGTGTCTGTTATCCACCTCTCCCCTCACTGAGCTTTCACTTTAAATTGATGCTGCTGCTGTTGAGTTGTCGTGTTAGTGGCACAGGCCTCTAGTGCCATGGCCGCCACGTGGCATGATGACAATGTAATCCGTGGACAGCCATAACCTTATATACGTGCCCCTGACTCGATAACTTGAATTTCTTAGATATCAAGGTCTAATGGAAGATGAAAATTGTGCACTTGAAGTTAAACTGTGAGCTAGTATCCCCACTCCCCCCCCCCCCAACAGAATGTGGCTGAATGGAACGTTCCAAAGTTGTGCTGTTTCTATGGCAACATAATGAGCCTGTCAGCGTGACTGTCTTTGAAAGTATTGTGCATGCTACGTTCCTATTGGAAGATCTACATGATGCGGTGTCCCTGAGGGTGTGGTGTGGATTCTGATTGGCTGCCACTCTCTGGTGCTCACATCCTATTGCACAGGCAGTAAAGTGTCCACCCCCACGCCCCAGGCTGCAGCGCCATGTGATGGGGATTTACACACTTATCGTTTTTTTTAATTTGTAAATTATTTAGTAGACTTTTTACAATATCCAAAGTTCTAAATGAGGAATCGTTTCGGAAACGGAAGAACTATAACAGAGGAGAGTGAATGTCTGATTGTCAACAGACACAGAAAGGGAAATGTATTGTATGCAATAATAAAAGATTGCAAAATTACTGAGTGTGTGACTGATAACCCAAACCAGGTCTAATCCCATGTGATTACGGAGAACGAACACGTATGATGCCTGAGATCGACACATGTCATATATGTGAACCATTGGATAATGTGAAATTCACATAATGCATCACTCTTCAGCACGTCTCAGTAGGAATTGTCTTGTTCAAACTTGCACAGGAATATTCCAACTGGAGATAAATGGGTAAATTTGGTTGGTTGCTGGTAATACAGACAGTTCTTAGCTGAAACATTTCCCACAATTAGATTTGTTGTTTCCAAGGGTGTTTAGATCCCATATGTCATGTTGGTCTACAATGGTCCATCATCAGTGATGAAACTATAGACCTGAAGCTGCCGGTGAGTCTACAAGACTGAACAGGGCCCAACCATCCAAGCCTGAACCACAATCTGAGGTAGTCACCAGACACAACACAATAAATGACATGGGACCACCAGAAGCTGCCCTAAACCCAATAATATGTGAATGAAGTGCTTCCGGTCAGTATACTGTATCAATATTGCATTATTGGGCTCATTGCAGTCACCAGTGGTGTTCAGATCCCATATGTCATGGTGGTCTACAATGATCCATAATCAGTGATGAAACTATAGACCTGAAGCTGCCAGTGAGTCTACAAGACTGAACAGGGCCCAACAATCCAAGCCTGAGCCACAATCTGAGGTAGTCATCAGACACAACACGATAAATGACGTG